CCAATAGACTCCTTAAAAAAACAATGTGGGCCACATTTAATATTTCTCACAGTAAGGTCTAATATAAAAGATCAGTGGAAAAAAAGGAGAAAAGTGATAAACAGCACAAAAAAACTAAAGTAGAAGCCAGTTTTAAGATTGTTTTTGCTTTACTAGCTTGAGAAAGCACCAAAACACAGACAGAGCGCTGTCTTCAGGGGCCTTGAGGGCAGCACACTAAGTTTCAATGGGCCACAGGTTGGGTACCAGTGGCCCTGAAGGCTACACAGTAAGTGCCAAATTGCCACAGGTTGGGCACCAGGGTATCAATATTCTGGTGCATCGCCCATTTATTTTCAATGTACCCTTGATGAGCTTCCATTGGCCAAAAAAATCACCTTCCTTATTTAAGCAGATCCTCCCTGTCCCTCACTTGCTCTTCACTAATGAGGTGTCCAGATGGTTACCGTCAGTGTTTTGTTTTATTTCTCTCTCTTTTTTTTTGATTAGACGGCTTGAACCAGTGGCACTTTGTCATTAGTTCAAACCATCCACAGAGCTCAATCCTCTGACTTTAAGTCAGAGACTGTTTTAGCTCTGGCCTCACTACTGTGTATCCTAGCATAGCTGTCAAAAGCCAAATTAAGTGCTGCCTGTAACTAACAGGCAGCACTCCGTCCATGACCGGTTACACAGCAGGGAGTCTGAAAGGCAGCACCCCACAACACGCTTGCACAGTACATTCACAGTATGCTGTGGGGCATGCACAATAAACTCACTTTTAGGTAAGATTCCTTTCATTGGTTTGTATTGTATTTGTGTTTATTGGTCATGTTAATTGTGTAGCACTTGTATGTTCTTCATTTTGAAAGCTTAGTAGAAGATGCATGTCTATGTAGAATTCATTACTATTGTTGTTATAAATTGTGACAGATCAACTAGTATTTTTCTGTATTTGCAGGATTTTTAAAGGGATTAAGCATAGGGAAATGTCCAGGTATCAAGGGGTGAATTTTTGCTTGGGTGGCTGAATTGGTACTGGGGGACATGCCATGTGTTGTCATATGTTGCCCAGATATTGTCAGAATCTACATAGTTAGTCAGGTTGAAAAAAGACACGTCTATCGAGTTCAACCTATAGAGATGTGAAAAAGAAAAGCCTAAACAGAACACTATGCCCATAGTTACCCCCCTGCTGATCCAGAGGAAGGCAAAATAAATACCCCTATAAAGCATGGTTCAATTTGCTCCAACAGGGGAAAAAAATCCCTTCCTGACCCCATAAGGCAATCAGATATTCCCTGGATCAGCAATCTCTGGTGCTTAATATACCTATAAGAACTCAATATCCAGTAATATTCTGTGCACTTAGGAATACATCCAGTTTTTTTTTTTTAAACAAATAACTGAGCTCGCTAGAACTAGCTCCTGGGGGAGTCTGTTCCACATTTTCACAGCTCTAACTGTGAAGAATCCTTTCCGTATGCAAAGGTTAAACCTCTTTCCCTCCAGACGCAAAGAGTGCCCCCTTGTCCTTTGCAGTGACCTTAAAGTGAATGATTTGGCACCAAGCTCACTATATGGACCATTTATGTATTTATACATTGTGATCATGTCCCCCCTTAATCACCTCTTCTCCAGAGAGAACAAATTCAGGTCAGTTAATCTTTCCTCATAGCTGAGTTCCTCCATGCCTCTTATGAGTTTAGTCGCCCTTCGCTGCACTTTCTCCAGTTCCATAACATCCTTTTTGTGAACTGGAGCCCAAAACTGAACTTTATATTCCAGATGAGGTCTTACTAATGCTTTGTACAGGGGCAGGATTATTAAATAGCCATTTTGTTACTTGCGTTTTGCCCATTTTCTGCTTGCATATTGTAATGCTTGCACGTTTGTTTTACAATGGTTGCCCATTTAACAATTGATTTTCCAAAGTATTGTATAATATTAACTATTTGTGGCCTATGTATTGTCAGTATTACCATGTTTTGCCTACATATTGTCAGGTCTCCTCTGTTTAAACATTCACATTACTATAATGAAAGTGTTAGTAAAGCTAAAACTTATTTTTTATTTGGGATAGAGTAGGGAAGGGTTAAAACCACTCACCGGTTATTTTTTTGCTGTGTTTACATTCCCCTTCACTTTAAAGGGAACACAACATCAATCTTCTCTAAGACAGTTGTCCCTAAACTGGTATCCCATTGGAAGATTGCCCCTTCTTCTGGGGACACCTTTTGGATTGCTGCTTACCACAGACTACAATGAAAACTTAACCCAGAGTCTAACCCTTCTTCATGACATCCTAAACTAAATATAAGGTTTTGCTTATAGATAAATGTTAATCCCTGATAGGCCAGGCACTATTAAACCGCAACACTATTATTCCTATGTTTCATTGTGCTGCCATCAAACCATTGCTGTTAATTTCTTTTTTTTTTAAGCAAAAAGTTTATTGGACATTTTTTCAACCAGGGCATTTTCATTGCACGGATTTTTCGTCGCTGAAACACCAACATTTAAAATCCCATACATTATATGGGGGCTATTCATGCAAATGCGCGGAATCGCACGTTCCAATACACCTGTCGCCTGAAATGCTCCCTGAGCTACTTTTGAAGCTCATTTTGTCTACAGACTTCAATGGAAACGCACTGATCAGCACGTTTTTGCATGTTTTGAATCGCCTCCAAAAAAATACACGCTTGATAAGCTGTCGCCTCGGTGTGAATGGGGCCTAAGTGTTAGACTCTCACATCATTGATACATATAGACAGTTGTTAAGAAATCCATTTACAGAAGCTCTTATCACATTTACTGTGAACACGATCCTGAGATATCATATCAATGGTAAAAATAAAGAGCATAATAGGGAGTATAAGTTGCTTGAAATGGAGGAGAAGGAAAAGATGATGTGGGAGAGAATAAGAGGTGAAGTAGAAGATCAGATTATAGGTGTGAGGAAGTCAGGAGAAAGAAAAGTAAATACGAAAAGGAGGTATAATAGAGAAGATGACAGATTGCACTTCCAAGCAGTGTTAGTCCCTAAAGGTAATGGTAATACATGTTCGAGGTAAGTATCAAGGTTAGCATAGAGATCTGAAATGATCTGTGTCCATGTAGGCAGGCCAGAGAGCCCAGGTTACCTCAAATTGAGATAGCCGATTATGTAAGTGCGCTGTCAGCTGTTCGAGGTTCATAATACAACAGACCTCCTTTGTCCACTCTTGTATGAAAGGTACGGCAGAAGAGTTCATATATCTAGGCATTAGGTTGCATGCAGCTATACTATAAAGAAGCAAAGGAGACCTTTCTTGGCATGAGCAATAGGGCCTGGGATGATGGAGAGCAATGCCATTTTAGGTGAAGGAGAAATCTGTGAGTTAGTAATATGGCAGTAGGTAGAGAATACTTTATTCCAGATTCTTTTTTTTTTTAACAGACATTTTTTTTCCAACCCTCCCAGCATCCAGGAATTGTTGACATCCCATGCTGCAAGTCCTATCTCTTCTGGTCACTTCTACTCAGTAAGGCCCCATAGAGGTCTGTTGGGCTTGCCTTCCAGCAAGGAGGCAGAAGTATGGGGCTGTACTTTAGTGGCGCGGCGGAGAGAAAGAGGGCTTGTGGTACAGGATGTAAACAACTTCTGGAAGCTGCGGATATTGGATTTTGGAAAGTATACATCTGCAGAAGGGGAGTGTGGCAACTGTTAGTGGAGGGCTAACACTTAGTGGAGGGGGCATCACCAAGGATAATCGCACTTTGCGTCTTTATTATTATTATACAGGATTTATATAGCGCCAACAGTTTGTTCAGCGCTTTACAATGTAAGGAAGACATTACAATCACAATACAATTCAAGACAAGATGGTAAGGAGGGCTCTGCCCCTGAGGGCTTACAATATAAAAGGGAGGGGCAAGTGAAACATGAGGAGGTAGCTGTGTGTGGAGAACGTGATGATTGAGCGGATAGGTTGAGGAGGGATAAGCTTACCTGAAGAGATGAGTCTTAAGGGATCACCTAAAGGCATTTAGAGTGGGAGATAGACGAAAAAGGTTGGGGTAAAGAGTTCCAGAGAATGCGAGAGACTCTAGTGAAGTCATGGAGGCGAGCATGGGAGGAGTTGACGAGTTGGAAAGCAGAAGCAGGAGGACTATTGAAGAGCGTAGGGCACGGTTAGTGTGATATTTTGAGACCAGGTTTGAGATATAGTCGGGGGCAGAGTTGTGGATGGCTCTGTAAGTGGTTTTTAATATTTTGAATTTTATACTTTGGGCGATTGGAGGCCAGTTTTAAAGAGCACTTGCGCTTTAATGAAAACTTTAGCTGTTTTCATTTCTCTCTTGCTCCCTAATATATATTTTTTCCATCATAAATATATAGTACATATAGCGTAAATCTATAAATATATATTTCATTATGTACATATATTGCATATGTATGCTTTAACATTTCAAGTAATACAACATAATGATACTCCTGCGTACTAGTACAATTCCAAAGATGCAAATTTCAGAATAAAATTCACCGCAGGTACTTTGTTTGCCGTCTCCCTCTTGACAAATGCGTGTTGTTTTCCAGCGTGCCAGCGTTTACAACTCGCAGATAACCAATATGTCCTCCACCGCTGAGGACGAGCGATATTTATGGTTCACAATTACAGGCTTAACAAAATCTTGTAATCTTACCAGTGAGCACTTGAAATAATTTATTTGCGGATGGCTGCTGAGGTGAAATGTTGAATTATAACATTCGTTTTTCTTTGCAGTCGAAATCATGGATTTAAGGACACTTTCCCTATGGAACGAATTGCCGGCTACTCATCTTCATGCCAAAGTCATATTTAACTTTTCTTTCCCCCTTAATTGAACCTTGAAGCTGAGTTCCTTTAAAACGAATGATATACCATTAATTGCAAGTGGCTGCTTATCTGTAGTAAATCTGAGGCTCTGCTGTTTACCTTATCCAGCCCGGAGTATTCATTGCCTGTTTTTTTATGTTTTTTTTTTTTACTTTGCAGCTTCTGGCGTTCCTCCAGGGTCTCTTTACCTACTACCATGAGGGATACGAGCTGGCCAGGGAATTTACGCCGTACAAGGAGCAGCTGCAATTCAATTTGCAAAACGTAAGGCCATGAATAATTGAGCCTTTGAAATATATTTTTACGTTAGTTATTTGCCCTTTAAAGTAGGACTCGGATTAAAAAGTAAGTTTAAAAATGAGAGTTAGAATAGCTAAAAATCAAGCACCCATGTATTGTATATTAAACATCAAACCATAAAGAATGGAGTGATAAACTGGATGTGAAGGAGGGAAGAAGCATAGTTTTCAAGTGCTCCTCTTTCTGGACAGCTCCCTCATTTTGCACATTGTTCTTTGGTGTTTTTTTCTTTCACAACAATGTTATTAAAGCCAAAGAATAACAATACAAAAACAAGAGAATGCAGGTCACTTCTAAAAGGGAAAAAACATTAGAAATAACAGTTTTACATACAACATAACTGAGCACACTTTTATAACAACTCAATCAAAGGTGAAAACCATAGATCCATGTAAATAATCATAGATAGAAGAAATGGCATTGAGGAATCTAAAGTATTTTATACAAAAAAGAAAAAAGTGGAAAAAGTTCCCCCTCTATCCTGTCACCTTCAATGGGACTACACAGAGAAAAAAAAAACGTGCTGCTTAAAAAACACTACAAAATCCCCGCAGAAGAGGATTAAAATTTTTTTTTAGAAAAGATGAGAAAAAGTAGGTGAAAGCAAACGAGAAAAGTAAAGAAAGAGACGGTGTTCCAGCAAAGCAAGAGAACAGTAGGGGGAGGGGGAAAAGGGGGTAGGTAAAAAGCCACCTTCAATATTCAAACACTGTCCTTTCTTCTGGAGGGTGGCTACTTTTTTTCCCCATGGTTCCTGTGTGTGACATCCACTCAGCAATTCTCCTCAGTGGTGCTCAGGTTTAAATAGCCAATGAGATGCCAAGTGCATGTTCATTCTTGCTCATGCGCACATGTATTAGCCAGTGTGTTCTTATGTGCAGTGTTATGAGCCAATGCAGCTCTTTGCCGTGAGCAAGGTCTACGCGCATATCTCCGGACACAGCCTTGAACTTGACCTTCCTGCCACCTATGCACATGCGCGGATCTTCGGGCATGGCTGCGTGCTTGATTTTCCTGACGGACAGAAGTTGAAGGAATCTCCTCAACAAAGCCTCCGACAGCAGTTGAACTTGATGGTAGTGCTTCCCTACTCAATATCCCCCAAAAATAATGTTGGGTATAGATACCCTTTAATGTGGTTTTGGTGGTGCAAGTGGGTGAGGTAGCAGACATCAAGTGGACTCTAAAGGGTTGGAGAAGCTTCTTTTACATATCCTGGACCTCCTGTAAGAAAAGAGCTCCTCGTTTGCTGGGAACATGATGTTAGATATTGAGGAATCGAGGAACCCCAACCCTAATACTGGCCATAAACTTCTCTTTTATAGACAAGGAACAACTTTGAAAGCACTCGACAGGAAATGGATCGGCTAATGCAGAGAATGAAATCTGCAGACCAGGATTACCGGCCGCCCAGTCAGTGGACAATGGAGGGATATTTATACGTCCAAGAAAAAAGTGAGTCTCACAAGTGTTGCTCTTTGACTTGCTTTAGGAGTTTTGTCGTTCCTTTCTCCAAAAATGTTGCATGAGCCTGACTTATCTGAGTCTTTTCTGTTGTGTTGAACATAACATTAGTGACCTGAAGTGGGTGCCACAGTAACATAGCTTTCACTGCTTACAGCCTTTAAAGATAAATGTAAAAATATTACCTTTACATCCAAGTTCCGTGTGGCTCACCAAGGAGAGTATAATGTCATTGGGCCTTCTTGTGGGATCGAAGGAAGGATGAGAATCTAAAAATTTGAAGAATACACTTCTGCACAATGCCGGAGTATCTTCTCATGAAATTTGGGCTTTTGAGCTTTCCAAAGTGAGACTCCGTATCATCAAAGGGTGCTTAGGACAGTTTTCTCCACTGGCATTAGTTTGCACAGCTTGGGATACTTCCATTCTGTTCTGCCCCATTTGACCTCTTTGTATGTCCTGCTAACGAGCAGGAAAAATTCCAGCAAGAGGTGTTTAGAGAGGAAAGAAGGATGTGGAATGAGAAAAAGATGTGGTCCCTCTCCGTAGCACGTCTGGTCCAAACTACTCAGTCACAGGCCTTGCAAGATAGACATAAAGAGGTTTAGGTAGAGGATAGGGACTCATTAAAAGAGACCTACACTACAAGTACTAGTGGTTAGAGGTCTTAGAGACATTCCTCCTGTGTGACGTTTTTGTTATATCTTTATTCACATCATATGGAGCGAGCTCGATTTTCAATGTACTGTACTTACTTTACTAGACTGCTCTAATGTGGTTACCAACCAAAGTTCTGTAACCTGTATGATAAGGACTAGGGCATGTCTTTTTCCATTTTCCTTTTCTGTTTACTATGTACAGGTGAAACTCGAATAATTAGAATATCGTGCAAAGTTCATTTATTTCACTAATGCAACTTAAAAGGTGAAACTAATATATGAGATAGACTCATTACATGCAAAGCAAGATAATTCACACATGCATTCACACACTTTAAGTTGTGCATTAAAATGCATTGCGTTAAGGCAGCCTATTGAAAATAATGGACTGCCAATATACCAGAATGTCCTAAAAGTCATGTGAGCTGTATTGTGCTGCAACATATGTGAGTTGGGTTGGCATTCAAAATATGCAAATATATACATGGACTTGTAATGATGAATTATAACGTGAAACCATTTTTAAGTTCAACCTGTACTGCCACACACCTTTTGCATTCATCAGCCATGTGTCTCTCAGTTGGTGTCTTTCATCCCTTTAATTACAGTCTGGTGAATGGTACATTACAATGGCTGGTTCATGCCCATTGTATACAGTTGAACCAGAACGGCATATTTACAGAGACGTTACAGTGAAATGTTGCCTTTAACCAGTACAGCCATGCATGATCTGCTCCAGCATGTTAACACATTCCCTTGTATTTTTCTGTGTCTCATTTACATCTTACAAGCCATGCAATTACTGCGTCCTCTGCTCCCATTAATGGCTTACTCTGTGTTTTTTAATGGCATGCTTTGCTGAATGTTAAGCTGCCTTGTGAAATAACTATAACATTTTTTCAATTAAAATTCTTTGCAATCTAATGCCAGTACAGTAAACCATGGCCAAAAAAAGCAGGAGATAAACATACTTCTATGAATTGCTCTGAGCTAGAGCAACACTCAAGCCAAATACCAAAATAGAAAGTTACAATGCCTATATGGGAATGGTTTTACCTGACAAAATGATTGCACTAATGTATAGCCAACCCTGATCTATTGTATAGTGAGAGGGTGATATCACTATTCGAAGTCGAGTCGAAGCTTTGCAGATTCCTTTGTCACCTCCATGGCTCCAGCATACTCCTGCTAGACGTTAGTACCACCACACTGGTGAGGGCCTCCCAGTGCTCTCTCTTCCTGAAAGCCTACGTAGATACCTTCACCTCTAGCCACCATTACTTAAAGTGACACTAAACTCAGGAGTTAAATCTTTAAAATGCAAACTGCAAACATTTGCATGGGTGCATAAAGTGACACTAATCTTAAAAATACATTCAAGTACAAAAAGATCCCAATGTCACGCAACCCACCCCAATAAATATTAAGAACTTTTTGGATGCCATTTCTATACCATCCCTCTTGTTATCAGATTGCCTATCCCTGTCTGATCCCTTTACTTTAGAAGAAATTAAAAAAGTGATTAAAACCCTCCCATAAGTCCCCTGGGGCTGATGGTTTTACAGAGGAACATTACAAATGTTTTTTGGATATTTTGACTCCTTATATGCTTATTATGTTTCACAAAGCTGCAACCTCTGGATCCTTTCCCTCAGAGATGCTTAAAGCTTTTATTGTGGCCTTGCTGAAGCCAGGGAAGGAACCAATACACCCACAAAACTTTAGACCGATATCCCTTCTAAATACGGACATCAAGATCTACGCTAAGCTGATTGGCAATTGTTTGCTATGTCTCACAGCATCTATTTATTCATCCCGATCAGGTGGGATTAGTGTGGGGAAGGCAGGCACCAGATGGCACTAGACGAATGCAGAGGTTGGTCGTACGCCTTTTCTGCTTCTTGCCCTGGATACGGAGAAGGTGTTTGACAGGATTCATTGGAAGTATCTATCCTTGACACTACAGTGTTTTGGCATAGATCGCCCAACTTTATCTGCCCTATTGGCGCTCTACTCCACCCAAACTGCACAGGTATACTTATCTGGGATGCTGTCTCATTCCTTCAATATATTAAATGGTACATGGCAGATTTCACATTGTCCCCGATCAATGCTATCCGTTCTAACCCCAATACTCCTGGCATCTCAGTCTCTTCTATTGATCATAAAATAAGACTTCTTGCGGATGACATTATCCTTACCTTACAATCCCCTGCTTCTTCCCTGGCCGAGGTTATTTCTTTATTCGGTTCAATGTCTTATTATAAGGTTAATGAGGGGAAATCTCATATTTTGGGTATAGGCATTTAGATAAGACTCTTTTACAGACTCAATTTCAATTTAAATGGGCATCAGATTTTATTACTTATCTAGGAATCTCGCTTACCTTTTCCACTACTACTTTATATAACCATAACTATGAACCCCTTTTAAAAACAGTTAAAAATTAGCTAGACTCTCTTAAAAGATTTGAATTGTCATGGACCGGTAGAGTGGCGGCATTCAAAATGAGTGTCTTACCTAAAATTTTGTTTTATTTCCACACTCTCCCTATTACCCTTCCCTGAAAATGTTTTTCTTGCATCCACTCTATGGTCAATTCATATGTCTGGGATGGGAAACATAGTAGGATTGCAAAGTCCATTTTATGGAAACATAAATCAACAGGAGGCTTGGGCCTACTTAATCTAAAAGATTACTATAGAGCTACTTTACTTGCCCAGTTCAGAACATGGTTCTTCTTGAAGGACCCACATAAACTGTGGTATAACTTAGAACAAAGTATGATTCCTTGGAGGAGATTTGCCTACCTGGTTACTAGCTACATTCCAGAGATGCGATTCACAATTAACTACACACCCCACCATTCATTCCACATTTCAGGTGTGGCTTTCTATCCTTAAAGTGACATTAAACCCTCAGATTTTTTAACATAAAACAATAGTGTAATGTGTGCCTTACTGTAATCCATGGTTGTTTCCCTTCTCTTAGCTGCTCTTCCTTTTAAATATGTATCTGTTCTCATGCTTGGAGAGAACTTCCCTTTTCAGCTGAGGGCCTCTTCCTGTAGTGCTGGCTCAGGTTACAGCCTATACACAGACACCGTGTGAGACAAGGCAGTCTGCTGAAAAGGGAAGTTCTCTCCAAGCATGAGAACAGATACATATTTAAAAGGAAGAGCAGCAAAGAGAAGGGAAACAACCATGGATTACAGTAAGGCGCACATTACAGTATTGTTTTATGTTAAAAAATCTGAGGGTTTAATGTCACTTTAAGGATGGTAAAATAGCCCTTATCATCCTTTTCTTTTCCTATCCCTTTTACAAGCTTGCAAACTCCTAATTCCTTATATCGATCTGAGTTCCTGGCGAATGCAAGGGTATTTGACTATTCTGCCGACCGCAAAAATAAAATCCTTTATGGACAGATATTGCTATTCTCAAATTGCGCACTTTAATGCCTCCGCTCAATTTAGACCTACCTGATGCACTTTGGAAATTATTATCCTCTCCTAGAATTCTTAGCAGCCACATATCCTCCTTTTATACTCTTATTACATGAGAAAACATTGTTCATGAAGCTGCCTTTCATGTCTAAATGGGAGGAAGATTTGGGTCAATCCTTCTCACAGGCCCAACTGCTATCTGCTTGTAAAGCAAGCGCATCCCATTTGAAATGTGTATCTCATTGTGAATTCTCCTTGAACATAATGCTTCGTTGACATCTAACCCCCTATCGCCTCTCGAAAATATACCCATCACATTCACCTCTGTGTTGGAGGACCTGTGGCTTTGTAGTTAATCTCTTACACATTTTGTGGTCTTGCATAATTGGAGCTAGGTGTTAATAACCCGCCCAGAGAGAGGTGTTAAACAGCATTGTATATGGCAGACAATAGATGTCTCACCCCCACCTCTATTTAAGCTTGGCTTCTCCATTATTACATAAATGACCTCTTTCACACCTCTTTTGAACCAGTCCTCCTCCCTGTCTAGGATGTGTACCTGGCTGTCTTCAAAGGAATTACCTTTTTCATTTAGATATAGGTATACTGCTGAATCCTGACCAGAGGGTTTGGCTCTTCTATGCTGTGCCATAAGCTGGTGTAGCTGCTGTTTCGTTTCACCGACATACAATTCTGAGCACTCCTCACTGCACTGGACTGCATACACAATCTTGTTCATCTTGTGTTTTGGCGTTGAGTGAAAGTAATAGGCTGCCAATGTACAAAAACGTACCAAAAAGTGAAGTGCCACAAAATTTGTAAAACGCAACGCACTATGGTGTGTTGCCTTGCATTGCGGTGCACTACATTATATTTGCATTGCCTTATTGTGTTGGGATGCCATTCAGAATTATTGGATCCACAACACATCAACTAATGTAATGCACATTGGCACACATCACTGCTGCACAATGGTGTGAATGGGCCCTAAAACATGATAGAATGATAGCACTGCGTAATGCACTAGGAGACCCCCAACAGTATGGTGCTACTGGTTTATAGCACGGTAAGTAAGATGTTACAAGATGTTACATGTGGTATATGTTCATTACAAGGGGGGAATGAACATATACATGTAACCATTGCTTTCCCTGTTGTATCAATGGTTACATTTCTATGCTCATTTCCTCCAGTGGTCTCTTGAATTGTAACATTGTATCTCTTTATCAACATTATTTTCAATCACCCTCAGCTCCATCTAGTTGCCATAATGTGGTCTTTTCCCCATTTACTCTGTTCTTTATGAATGTACATTGTTCTTTATGAATATACCTATTTTAGAACATTCGATTTTGCCCCATTCTCACAACAGCTGATTATGTCATCAGAACAAGTATACCCTAAGTTTCACTGGATGAATAAGTTATGCAAATTTTGTAAAAAATGTAGACCCCTTGATTATCCTGCTAGTAATATATTTTTTGTCCTAGTGTGACAACATTCATTAACTGTACTGTATCTATGGGGGAGCAGTGTTGTCACCCTGGGCTGCTACCCTGATTTGGATTCCAAAGAATTTCCTTAGAAAATTCATAGAATTTCCTTTCAAAGAAAGTTAAGCTGACCATACACTCAGGGCCGGATTTACTCTCTCTCTGCTGCCCCAAGGCCGGGTTCCTCAATGCGCCCCCCTCTCCGCCAAACCCTCCTCCCCTGTCAGTGAGAGGGGCTTTTTTTCTAACAGTGCTGCCCCTCTACTTCTTGCTTCAATGCTGCATGTAAACACCTGCACACCGCATGTAATGGTGATATGATTACATGCAGTTAGAAAACAGTCACTCTCCCTGGATGCATTGATCATGTATGCACAGAGAGTGATTGATTCCTAAACACATGTAATCATATGAACCATTACATGCGGTGTGCTGGCGTATACATGCAGCGGTTATCACCTGATCCTTAACTTGAATGGGTGACAGTTGCTGCTTGTAAACGCCAGATTAGGGATTCCTGCTGCAGGAAAATGCCAATTCCTGACACAGAAATCCCTAGTCACACCTAAACGTACAGGTATGAATGTGGCCTAATACACACACAAACAACAAAAAGTTTTCCCAGCACACTCACAAGCCAGCATGCAAAAAACACACACATACACATAACCACACACAGAAATACAACCCACCCCCCACACACAAACTAATGCAGAATAATACATCCCTCCACCCCCGGCACATAAAATAAAAGACAGAGCCCCATCACCTGCACATTCTCTAGTGATCCAGTAGTGATTAGTAAGGTCTGGTGCAGACCTTACTAATCCTTCCTTTTGACCGGAGCTCAGAACTGTCAGAGCTCCGGCCGATGGGAATTACTGAGTGGCAGAGCTGACAGGAGCAGCTATTCGGGTAGCTGTCCCCACAAGTCAGATATGGTGTACCTGATTTGACAGCCGGCTGCGGGCTGGCTTTGGTGGGCTTATATGGATTCTGGCCCTGCATACACTGTAAAATGTTCAACATTAAACCTGCTGGCTGAATCAAGAAAATATAACAGATTGCTCCATCACGTGCGTTGAACGAGGAATTTCCCACTGTTTGAATTGTATTCTGACGTTGGTCTCAAGCTGCTTTCAGAATACCCAAACAGAGCCAGCAGCTCATTAGCTGCCAGCTCTGTTCCTTTGAAAATTTTCCAACTGGCTGCTTCGATCAGCTGATTGAGAGTTGCCTGCCGAAAGTGTGCCAACAGCAGAACACACTGTGCAAATTTTGTCCGGTTAAGCAAGAATAGGGTATGGCCACCTTTCGTTATTCAAGTTCGAATCTTTCAGAATTTCGTTTTAGTTTCAGACAAAGTTTTCTAATTGGCCAGAAAACAGTAATGTATTCGATTTAATTTTGAACAAAATACAGATGATCTGAAATGTCATTAAAAGAACATTCAGATTTGTTTGCATCTGACCTCATTGGAATTCAGACATTCAGATGCATCCAAATGTTCGAATTCACAAAATGTCGTCCACATTTTAATTTGGAATGGAACGAAATGTACACGTCTAATAAGATATCAGACCATCCGTTCTACACTAGGGAAGGGACATGGGAAAAGCAGTCACTCGGTTTACCCAGTACAGAATTGCTGCTGGTAAATTTGTCTGCAATACAAAAAAGAAAAAGTAAAAGAGGAATTATTTCCGAATTTAGAGACAGATGTAGGAAACCTTCTAGATATTTGTGGTTGCACAGCCGGTCTGGCTTAAGCCGTAAATGTGTCACTTGTAAATGTCTTTAGAGAATGATTTATGGTCCGGACAGACAGAGGAAGTGTTTTAGTGGAGTTGGATTCAATATGTTTGTGGACACCTGTAACTTGCGCACTGGTCGTCACATCTCCAGCTAATGAGTCCCGACGGGGAGGGGGGGAGGGGGGGACAGCTGTGTATCGGTTGTGTTGTGTGTATGTGCTGTCCTACTTGTGTCTTGGAACTGAGGACCAAGATGCTGTTATCAAACTTCTATGGTTAGGAATAGAGCTCATTAAACTGCCACTTTTCTCTCACTGATGAGATTCGTACAGCTGGAGGTCAAGATGGCTAGGATCCATCGCCAAATTACTACATTCAATGGAAGCAATAGCTTTTATAGAAAGATATCATCTTTATAGCATGTGAGGAACAACTGCCCAATTAAACAACATTGAATACTTCTTTTACAGGAGGAGCTGTTGAAATGACTAAGTATATTGAATTTCCTGTTTTACCTCTTTTATTGTATTATGTATAGGTTTAAACTTTTTAGCAGTGTGTGAAAGGAGGAATAGACTCAGGCATAAAGAAAAAGCATATATATTGAGAGTCAATGAAAAGAAATATAGTAATATATAAAATGGAGACAGCTTGGCTACAATTTCATGCCAAGGCGTGCCTGTGACATTTCCCGCACTATCGATGAAATTTAGGTGTGTACTGTACCGCTCAATAAGCCTGGTATGAGGCTAGAGATCATTTGGGCATTGCTTTCTATAAGGGCTCATTTAGAACTTGGCGTCTAAGTTTTTCACACGTAAATGTGTTGTATTAAGGCAGCCCATTCAAATAAATGGGCTGGTGTCGCTCCAAAATGCTCAAAAAACGGACATGCACCATTTTTGGCTCCACAACACATGGTATTGCATTACTGTGCATTGCGGTGTGCTGCAAAGCATGTGTGCAGAAGCTGCATTGCCTTAGTGCAGGGCAAGGCAACTCCAGTCCTCCAGCTGTACTTTAACTACAAATCCAGCATGCCTCTGCCTCTGGGAGGCATGCCTGTAGCTGTCAGAATCTTGCAATGCATCATGGAACTTGTAGTCAGATCAGCTGGAGCGCCGGTGATGTCCACCCCTCCCTTAGTGTGTTGGGGTTCAAAAAGAATGGCACCCCAATACACTAATGCACGTAACAAGATTTGAGCCATCTATAGGGGGCCTTAGGGATTTGGGGCTCATTCCCATGGATGCAAATACAGGCATATAGGCATACCGCATAAAATACACCTGCATTTGCGGCACCAGGGAGCCCCAGCTGCTGCGTTTTTCTGTCCATAGGATTGTACGAACTCAATATGCTGTATGTGGATATAAATGTGCTAACGCAAGCACTGTTGTTTGCACATTCGTAAGTTCCTGAAAGTAGAAGTTGCATGTTTAGGAACTAGTGTGTCCATACAATCCTATAGACACAAAAAGCAGTAGCTGGGGTTCCCTGTTGCTGCAAATACAGCTGTATTTTACTCTGTATACCCATATGCTTGTATTTATGTCCATGGGAATGAGCCCTTATACTGGCAATTTTAGTAGTCCAATTGCACTGTTAAAATTCTCTGGTGTAGCTTGGACGTTTAGCTAGGAGCAGTTATACTTAGATGCTTTGTGGATGCAAACAGGGGCCTCAGAAACGTTTCCCTATTTGAACCTGTGTATTCCCAAATTTCTATATTTCCCTAATTCAGACACATTTTGGAGGCTGCTTTATTAAAGGAGTTATATAACAGCATCAGCATTGTAATCGGAACACTTACAAGAGTTGTTTTTGATAATGCAAAGAGTGATAAAGAGATAATAACGATAGAGTGCTGCCTTCTGTCTGTCCATCACTTTCAACAACTTCCTGGATTCCTAGTGTGCTTTGCATCTCTTTCCCTGCTGCTTCATGTGATGCAAGCTTGATTTCTCAAGACTACATATCCCATCATGCATTGCTTCCAGCAAGCAATGTTAATGTTACATTGTTCAGACATTGAGTTGTAGTTTAGATGGCAGGCGCTGTAAGAGCTGTGACACAGGTAAGTGTATATTCACAGGGAATGTGTGTCAGTGCATTGTGGAAGCACATCTTATGGGCATCTTGAATAAGTATGTTTACAAACGTCTAGATGAATATAGATGAACATTAACACGATAAAGCTTATTTGAGTTATTGGGAGTGGGATAAAATTATGGAAGTTCAATATAGAAATACAGATTTATTTTTAGCTTTTTGACCATAGATACCCTTTAAGATATGCCAGGGTGGTATCTTATGATTGGCTGAAGTAAATGGAATTCCAAGCAGAATTTCTAACATTAACACAATAAAGCTTATTTGAGAATTGAGCATTTGGGGTTACATCTACTTTAGGGAGTAAACTTCCAGATTCTAGGTGGGATTCCTGCTACTGAATCAGAACTCAGTAAAGACATATCACACACAGATTTCACAATCTAAGATATGCTTACATTATCAGCAAATTCTGTATTTATTATGTGTACGAGGTATCAGAACAGCACAATGTGACACTTTTTCTCTCTCATTGCTTTTATTATTAAGGACCTCTCGGATTTACGTGGACGCGGCATTACTGTACATACGACAAAAGCAACAAAACATTTACTATGAGCGTATCGGAAACCAAATCAGGCGGAAAAGTGGTAAGCAATTGTTTCCTTTTTTTCCTGCATAGATTAGGGCTCCCCCATGAACCAGGAACAATGCAGAAGATGTGATCTCCATGATAAAGGATATGGTAGACAATCATTGTAATGCAGGCCTGCACTGAAAGAATACAATGGCTAACGTACTACGTGACCTCTCCTTCTGAAAATGTTGGTTGCCAGGCTGTCATTGTGAACGAGTGGCTTCAGTATCTTGTCAGGCAATAACCTTGAGCCAGTGGCGTCACAAGGGTGGTGTGGCCGGGTGTCACCCGGGTTTCACCATTGCGGGGGTGACACCAAAATGACTGACAGTCATTTTGGTGTCACCCCCTCGAAAAAGTCTGGCACTCGGTCGTTGATCGAGAGCCCAACAGTGTCAGGAGAGAGGAGGGGACCCGGCGGCATACCTCATCCTGCCGCGTGAGCATCCCCTCCTCTCTCTTCCGGCGTCCATCACCAAGGCGACAATCAGATGACGTCATCGCACATGTGCGAGGTGACATCACATGACGATGCGGCGTGGTGTCTAGAGACCAGGTGACACCCGGCCTCGGGACGCCCCTGCCCTGAGCCAATATACAAATCAGGTAATCTGTTTCCACTCTGACTCAGAAAATTAAGGCTCTTTTCACATGGCATTCCAATCAGATCTGTTTGTCGGTTCTTAAGGCAGACCTGATCAGAAGCTCAATGTTAGTTTATGGGCCGGCATATATAAGCGGATGCGTCTGTTCACATCCAGTCACCTCCTAGTCCATTAACAAAAGAAAAAAGTAGAGAAGAGTTAAAATTTTGTTGACCTGATTACAATGTATCAGAGGTAATGGGATGTAAATAGACACATGTCCGCTTACATCTGACTCCCCATAGTCCTAACATGGGTCCAGTTAGTTCAGTTTATTCCTCCATCACAGTGACATCCGTTCCATACTGCTCTAAAGGGCGGGGGATCTGTGCATAGATTCCCTGCTGATCAGAACAGATGGCACCTATGAGAGGCCTTTAAAGTGTACGCCCAAAGAAGAACTTCAGGAAAAATTAGTATTTTTAATTTTAGTGCTTGTTTGTCTAGGTTCAAAAATAAAAAATGTATTCCCACCTAAAGTTCTGAGCCAGCCAGCAGCTGTCATGGCACTCCTTCCAATACACAGTGTCAAGAATGTGATGATTTAAAGGCTAAGTTCACCTTTTGCAAAAATTAAAGAAATGCATAATTAATAATATATTTTTAAAAATCTGCATTTCTTTCATTTTTGCATTTAAGCCTGGAAAGCATTGCGATTATGATCACTCAATCAGGGCTGCAGAGCTCAGGCTTCATAACATCCTCTCCCAGGCAGAGCTCTGTACTGAGGTACAGAGTTTCAGTTAGATGGCGAAGGATGGCTGGATGGGAATAAAGACAGCTCTACCGCATCTAACCAGAGCGAGGACGGCTGTAAGCCGTATGAGGTACTTTAATGCAGTTTGAAGTCCTTCCCCATCGCTCCTAACTGAAACTCCGTACATCAGTACGAGCTCTGCCAGTATGAGAATGTGAAAAAGCCTGAGCTCTGCAGCCTGATCGAGGGATCACAATTGCAATGCTTTCCAGGCTTGAATGCAAAAATGAAAGAAAAGCATATTTATATATATATATATAAAATTAAATATGCATTTCTTTAATTTTTGCAAAAGGTGAACTTATCCTTTAAGGGGCCTTCCCCTATTCTATACAAAACAAAAAAATATTTGGGGTATACATATACTTTAAATGAGGGGTGGGCAAACTCCAGCCCTCCAGCTATGAGGCATTCCAAAATGATCACCGCCACTGCATGACTCCCAGAGACAGATGCATTATGGGATTTGTAGTTTCACCACAGCTGGAGGGCCGGAGTTTGTCCACTCCTACATTAAAGTATATTTCCAATTTTGCAGTAAGTCAAAACTGAGAATATCCCTCTATCAGGGGCGTTCAGTAGTGTCCGTGGCAGGTGAGGCATCACCCCAAGCCTGTTCCTATGTGTGGAGGAGGGTGGGAGGAAACAGGGAGGAGCCTCCCTGTCCCTCACTTGCTCGTCACTGATGAGGCATGTAGATGGATGCCGTCAGTGGGTTTTTTTTGTTTTGGACGGCTTGGACCAATAGCACTGTGCCATTGGTCCAAACTATCCACAGAGGCTGTTGTAGCTCTGACCTCACTGTATTAGGTTACACACAGCAGCGGGCTTTCCCTAACATAGCTGTTCAAACCCAGATGAAGCACTGCCTGTAAGTAACACATGGCACTCCATCCATAAAATGGACCCCTTACCTTTTTTTCTTCTTCACTTCAACACATGCAGTTTATAAACCAAAAACCTATTTGGGTCTCTTTGGTAAATAAAACTGCACTATGTGCTTTATGAACTGCTCAGTAAAAAAAAAGTGTTTGTTTAATCCTTCGGTGATCTAATGAATTAATTGATTAATCATTTATTAAATTGAGCAAGCAGCGGAATAAAACAGACCTTGAATTGGGTACATAAAACACAGTCATATCTTTTCTACACTATCTATAATTCCTATTAGCGTCTCTGTGCGGCAGTAAAGAATAACATTAAACAGACTAATTGTGTGTGTAGATTAGCAGCAAAGTGAGATAAAATGTGATATTGAGTGAATAACTCACATCTACATAAGTTGTATATGTTACATCCTGTGAATACTAAAGCTAGCAAAATGCATAATGTAAAAAATAACACTTCAATGCCTTATTTACATTTTTATATTAAAAGGCCGCTATACCAAAGGTCAGCTGTTATAAACAGGGTGCCACATGTGCCTGCCTTTTAAAGCCAACATGTCAGGGTTTGTAAACAAGCACTGTGCTGATTGAGGGGAACCTTTGGCCATGTTTAAAGCAGAACACCAGGTAAAATATTTCTTAACCCTTGCAGTGGAGTTTCCCTGCACTGAAAGAGTTAAGTGCTTGTTTGGTGCAAAAATAACAAAGTTATACTCACCCGATCCTCAGAGCTTGTTGTTAGACCGGCCCATGGAGCCTCCCCCCCTCCCCCCCCTCTGCTGTAGTGGCCTAAGGTCAGTGAGCCATCCTGTATAGGATGTAAGGACACCTAGGGTTATACTACTGCTGCAGCGTAGGAGAAGACAGGCTGGAGGCAGCGCTATGACAGCCGGCCAACTGCAAGGTTCAGGCGAGTATAACTTTTTATAAGCACTTACACACAAAGAAGCACTTATCCTTTGCAGTGCTGGGGTAGCCCCACTGCAAGGGTTTAGAAAAAGTCTGCACAGAGTTCTTCTTTAATAAAAGAGATAATTGCTGCACATTGGCAGACACCGCAAGCTGCCCCAGCACAACGCCACACTTATGTACGGCATGCAATGAGTGTGCCAGAGAATGCTGGCAGATAGGCTTGTACCAACAATGGGGTGCACTAAAGCACAGTCACTGGGCAGCATTATTAAAACCCAACTGAACTGTCAGTTTAAATCCACTAAATACATTCCAAAATAATCAAAAGAAAAGGTTTGGAAAGTCTTGCAGTTTGTTTTCTTTAGCAAGCAGAGTAGAAAAGCTTTTCTCATGCCAGCACGCTGCAGAGAAGGACACATTCTCTCAGTTTGGAAGCAGGGGTTACTCTGCAGAGGTCCAACACACCCCTGCTAAATCAGAGCCAGAGCTCTCCAATCAGCAAAGCTTGAACTCTCATCTGATTGAAGCTCTGACTAAGCAGGGGGCATGTCATACCTCTGGAGAGAGACCACTGCTTCCACAGAGGATGGGTCCTTCTCTGCAGTGTGCTGGCATTGGGAAAGGGTTTTTTTTACGCACCGCTTTTTTTTTTTTTTATAAGCCTCGAATGTATTTAGCTGATAGAAACTGGGAGTTTAGTTGGGCTTTAAGCAAGAGTACTGTAATGAGCAAATATGGATGCTTCATGAACATGTATGTTTGCCACCTGTAATGTATGTTTGCCAAATTGGCCAAATGTTTGCCACTGAAGCAATGCATTTAAAATATACAATCAATGGCCAATTTATTAAGTGCATGTGTTCAAATGCTCATTAACACAAATATCCAATCAGTCAATCACATGACAGCAATCCAGTGCATTTAGACATGTAGACATGGTCAAGACAATATGCTGAAGTTCAAACTGAGCATTAGAAGGCAGAAGAAAGGTGATTCTTCCCATCTTCTGAAGGCTACTTCCGGCAGGATAACGCTATGTCATAAAGCTTACAATCATCTCAAACTGGGTTCTTGAACATGATGAGTCTACTGTACCCCAATGGCCTCCCCAGTCACTAGAACTCAATGCAATATAGCACCTCTGGGATGTGGTGGAACAGGAGATTGGCATCATGGATGTGCAGCCAACATATCTGCAGCAATTGCGTGATGCTATCATGTCAATATGGACCAAAATCTCTGAGGAATGTTTCCATCACCTTGTTGAATCCATGCCACGAAGAATTAAGGCAGTTCTGAAGACAAAAGTGGGTCCCTTGCGGTACTAGCAAGGTGTACCTAATAAAGTGGCCAGTGACATCATCATTTTTCTTTTTAGTAGGTATTATCCCAATTTAGCTGCAAAAGTGTACTGTAAACGGCATGATAAGACAGCAATAAATATGTAATAGAGTTTCTGTACTTCCCTGATCCATCCAAAATTGAACAAGCTTTAGCTATAGATACACATGTATCCTTTTCCTCTTCACCAGAACGGACTGGTCTCCAGCGCTCCAGAGATGTTCAAGCTGAAGATGTGCATACGGCGGAAGACAGACTCTATAGACAAGCGGTTTTGCTTTGACATAGAAGTCCTAGAAAGGTTTGTGTGTGTCAGTGCTTACATTACTCTCTCCTCTCATTACATTTTTTTCTTTCTTAAATGAGAAGCTTTTGATATCACCATTTAAAATCGCTTATCAATTTTACTTCCTTACCTTGACATGGCTGCCCCTATGACGAGGCGGCCTGAGGCTGTTGCCTCAGGTGGCATCTCTTTGGGTTATGGTGAAATGTGTAAGGCCATACACATCTCCTGTACCAGCTCTTAGCAACCTGGGACACTCTGGCTGGCATCCTGTCCAGCTCCTGGCAACTAGTGATATCACTGGTTGCCAGGAGCTGAGCGGGATACTCTGGCTGGCATCTCACCCAGCTCCTGGCATCCAGTGATATCAATGAGCTGGGCAGGACACTGGCCAGAGCTAGGCAGTGCACCACCAGGATGCCGTTAGCATGCACCACCAGCACCCTTTCAAACCCCCGCAGAACATGATCACCAGTACAACCCCGCCTCAGGTGACAGTTATGTCTAGGGACACCCCTGACGTCTGCTATGAAAATCCAGAAGCATCACAGGCTAGGTGTCTGGGCTTTTTTTCTGCTCTACATTGAGCTTATTATCCATACAGTTCATGTTGGCTCAGGAAAGCCAAGCTCACATTGCATCCTGGGAGCTGATCTTTTTCTTATAAAGGATAACTAAACCCAAGAACACAAATGTAATATACTGCAGCTGGTGTGTCCTTGTCAATTGCTGTGAGCTGAACTGGAAACATTAGCAATTTTCCTTCTGTAAACTATTGATCTCTCCATCCCTCATGTAATGAAGATGAACAAAGGAAGACATGTTTAAGGTTAGCCTGTGGCAACTATGGCTTCCTCCATACAGTGGAAGAGTGAGCGTAGCCATCCAGAGGCAGGAATTTTGCAGGATCACAAGGTGACAAATAAAGGGAAAAAGTCTGAAAAAGAAAACTAATGCAGCCACTGTATCTAAATACCGGGAAGCCTCAATATATTACATTTTCTTCCTTTCATTGAAGGAGACAATGGAGCTCTTGATCTCTTACCGATGGGTTATACTGTCACCTGCAGGAGTAGGACGCTAGGCACAGGAAAAACAAAACATAACCCAGGGATTTGGCTAACCCTGCTGGTGGCCAAGTCCCCCATTAGCTAGAAGCAGCTCAGTTTTTTGCCTAGCTTGATGGCGACCTGCTATGGAGGAGTGGCCAGACAAAGATTCAGATATCGCTGTACGTAACTGACTGATTTTCACAGAAGAGGTTGCAGCGTTTATAAAAAGAATGTCTTGTTATGTTTTATGGGCATCTTAAAATATGGATTTTCTAATTGCAAAATGTTTGCAATTAAACATGAGCAAATTATTCTGCGAGGTTGGGAGAGTCCGATATTTTTTTTTTTTTAAATGAATCTTGTATACCGTACATGCAGATTCGCCCTATGTACCAATATGACGTCCAGGGACACTGAGTGCCTGGATTCATCCTTTATGGGATTCTCCGAGGACTGGAAAAAATTTGCATGCATGTGTATAGTAGGATGAAGACCTTAGAATTCACAGGAACGATTAGATTTACACACTATGTGGATCATGTTCATCTCTGTACCTCTCTCTACAACCCCCTATTTTCGGGACCTCTGCTGAATGCTGAAAGACAGAAATGAGATTGAGGATGAATGGATATAACTGACGGCTGGCTTCTGACTGAATCTATTTCTTATATACATTTATTTTGTATCCTTTCATTTGCTAACAAATGTTTTTGATTTTCTCCTACAGACAGGGGATTATCACACTCCAGGCTTTGTCAGAGGCAAACAGAAAGCAATGGCTTGAAGCAATGGATGGAAAAGAACCTGTAAGAACCTTCTCTTAATACCTTTAGGCCAACTCTACAAAACCATTTTGTTATTTGTTGATAGCCACCAGCATGTTAAAGGAGAACATCAGGCAAACATTTTATTAATCCTTGCAATGGGGCTACGCCAGCACTGCAAGGTTTAACTGCTAGTTTTTGCCTAGGGTAAAACAAAAATAAACAACAACAAAAAGAGTTATACTTACCTGATCTTTGAAGACAATTGCCTTGTAGACCGGTCCCTGGAGCATCTCTCCCTCTCCACTGCAGAGGTTAGGAATCCTCAAGTCATCACATCCAATACAGTGTATTGTGTGTGAGAATGCCAAGGGACATACCATCACTGCAGCAGAGGAGAAGAGAGGCTAAAGGGAGCACTGGCAACTCTGAGGATCGGGTGATGACGATAGCAGTTGGGCCGACCCAATGAATACATCTCACTTGAAGTCCCAAAGAGCTATAGGGTTGATTTACTAACCTAAACACACACACACACCAGGTGTGTGTGATTTTCACACAGCAAAACGTATTTATCAACCAAAAAGTCTCTAAAAGCATATTTCCACTAATGCCATATATGGAAAAATCATGCACATGATGCATATATAATGCTGCTTCACAGTTTAGACAAAAATGGTTAGCTCATGCATTTACATTCCCTCATTCATCAACGCAAGCAACATAACATAGAGCTAATTTACACTACATTACCTTGCAATTCATTGCAGGGCTTTGAACAACACACCTGCTGGGTGTGTACACACTACAAAGGTGTTTCGATTCCTCCCATAGATCATGCTGGGAGGGAACACACTACAGAGGTGTATACACGTTCGTGGTGTGTTTAAAAGGTTAGTAAATCAACCCCATAAAGTCAACAATGTTATTAAAGTGTATATGTTTATAACAGGATGGGAATAGGATTTCCCATCACTTTCTGGTCATGAGAATGGTCACCAAGGCCAATGAAAAGTGGGAATCTACCCACAGAGAGCCTAGGAACCTGAAAGAGGTTCTAACCCCTCACAAATCTATCCAAAACCAGGAATTCATACCTTTCAACCTTCTAAAGAGGATAAAAGGCACCCCTCTTATCACACCGTTGTCTGGTAATGGACACATCCTACTTACACCCCTTGATCATGTGGACTATAATCAATTAAAGCACAAGAATGGTCACTTTAACCCACTGGGTTTTTTTTTTTCAAATCTTCTCTCTAAATTATCATTTCAAAATAGGCAGTTCATTAGTAATGACAATCTACAAACACATACTTCTAGATAATTGGCGGCTTCGTATTCTTTGCATTTCTTATTTCTCTTTTATTCCCCTTCTGGCAGAGGCCACGTTTACTGAGGGCAAATTACTAGCTCTCCTATTATTTCCTGGATTTCTGGCACATGTGACTAAACATGTGACTAGGACATGTGACCGTGCACATCATCTCAGGGGAGGAAAATACCTTTACCTGAGATCTTGTGAGATTACAGATGAGATTTCCCAGCAAAGCTCTGCTAATGACAAGGCAATCCCAGTGTGCATTGCTTTGCCAAACTGAAGTAATCTGCACTTTCACAGCGGGAAGCAGGAAATGCTCTGCAGGTCTAAGTATTTCATAATCACAGCATTTTACAAGTGACATGTCTGTATTATTAATCATCATACATAGAGGGATGCATTAGTAGAATTTGATTTTATGAGTGTAAAGGTCTACTTTAATATACAGTATATATATATATATATATTTAATTTCTGAAAAATACATATAAAAAAGGAGCGCCAGAATTGTGATTATCCAAATACCACTTAACCATGACTAGAAATCAGATTGACTTACAGTTAGTCCCACCCTGAGGCTAAGCCCTAAACACTCCTCATGGCCAGTGAGCAGTATGATAAAATGACACCATAGACCATGCTATCAGTTTATTTATGCTGCTCGCTGGCCATGAGTATGGGAGCGGCATCCAGTCCAGGAAACATTCAATATAGCGGTAGCTGGGTAAGCACAGTGCCCGTGCAATTTTCTCCTTTCACTTTGTTTATGAAACCAGTGTCCCAAAACTGTTCCTGAGACAGGAAAGCTGAGACAAGCTTGTGTGCCTCCCTATTGGCGAGTGAGGCCAGCCATCTTAGCTTCGAACCAGTCGGTGGAAGGGAAGTTGTAGGCCTGAGATGTCAACCACAGCAGCCATTGAGATTTAACGGATCTCTCTAATTTTCAGAGCTCCTGTGGCCTCATACCCCCCTGATGGCGGTCTTGGCCGGGGACTCGGATCGCGACCCCCCTGTTCACTTGCGGGACCCCATATGGGGTCGCGACCCACACTTTAAGAAGCACTGCTCTAGAAGACATCTGGGGGTTCCTACATTTATTTCCTGTTGCCAGCTGATGGGGTTTTAAATTTATGTAAACCCAATCACTAATAAGCTTCAACATGTTCATTTCAACGTCACTTTAAATATGTTTAAACCTGCAGCTTTCATGTAAATAACACTGGGTGACCCCGTCATGAAGGCCAAGGTTTAGGCACTTCCCGTTATAGGGTGGCAATGATCTATCTCCCAAGTGTGTTCCTGCGTTGTCACTCTGTTACAATTTCAATGCAAATTTTACAGACACGCTCACCATCAGAAAAACCGCCCTGGGAAATGCCATGCAGCCAACACTTGTGTGCATGTAGACAGGAAAGGGCTGCGAGGAAGCTACAGGAGATCAGCAACAGTGTGATGCACCAAGGAGGAAAATAATTCAGATTAAATGTGCATTCCAGTGTAAAAAATCTATTAAAATACCATTATATTAAAAAATGTTAGGTATTTAGCTTTTGTTTAACAATTTGTTTCCGATTTTTCTCATATTGTTCTTCATCTTCCTTCTTCTAGAAGGAATGTGTGTTTGCTTGCAATAAAATAACAGCGTATGTATTAAAAGACTGTACATTCGGTAATTGAGTGGGAAAAATCCGAGAATATCTTTGAGGCTCCCTGCTGTGTTCCGTTGTGTAATCAGCACACAAGACACAGGGATGCTGTCCAGATAAATAGCTCTCTTGTTTATTTTTCACCAGGCGGAAAAAAAAAGAACTTTTGTTCAAACAGAAAGTTTGAGATGGAGCTATTGTGTATTACCGGCTCGCGCTGTAACATTTATCTGAAATATTGTTTTGCTTGCCCTTCTACATGTTTGCAATAGCGTTTATGATCATAATTCAATGAATTAAGGGTGCCCTCTAGTGGCTGTGTTTAAAATGACACTGTCCTCACCAAAAAAAAAAACAATTCGCAAAGCTAGCCAAAGGATCAGCCGTAGCTCCGGCTGATCCTTCGGCCACCAGAGCCCTTCGGTTCAGTAGAACTGAAGGGCTGCTGTAGGGCTATTCACTATAGCTCGTACAGCTCCCGAAGCTGGCTGAGCGGTTTAGCCGAGCCAAAGGCATATGCTTCGGCTCGACTGGTACCGAGCAGAATAGCACAGCTGAATGCCGCTTGGCGGCATTCGACTATTCACTCACTGCTGATCGGCCCCTATGAGAATAGGCCGAACGGCAGCGAGTAGCCTGACGGAGGTTCAGCTCCGCCGATCCAGATGTTGGATGAGCTGAGTCGAACGTGTTCTTCACTTCGGCTCAGTCGAACATGCTGAGCATGTTCAGCTGAACCGAAGCCAGCCGAAGCAAGCCGATGCATGGCTGATTTCAGCCGATGTACGGATGAAATCAGCTGAACAAGCCTGAAGTGAATAGCCGAACAGCGTTTGGCTCACTTCACTTTGGCTCGGTTATTCACTCGGCTGCCTTTGGCAGCTTTGTGAATAGCCCTCAAAATAATCCCAAAAGCTGTTCCTTGCAAACGTTGTCCATTGAAGGGTAACAGGCTCTGTCAATATCTTCTGCATTCATAAGTGTTGAATTCCTATGCACTCCAGTAGTGATATAGGGGGTGAGCACAACAAAAACACAGCCTCCATCTGGGTACACAGGTGTCTGACACTCCAGGAAATGTCAAATATTAAAGATTCTGACAGAGGCTGAATTGATTCAATAGAATGAAAGTAGAAGAGGGGGTCTAGGTCTCCTGGTGGTAACAACAGTGGAACATGTCCGATTATTCATTTATTTATTAATTACAGATATTTATAAAGTACATAGTACATACGTATAAATCTACATACTTTTCATTCACATCAGTCTCCGCCCCCAAGGAGCTTACAATTTTAGATCCCAATCTCACATGCATACAGGGCCGATTAGACAGGAGTCAATTAACCTTCTAGCATGTTCTGCTCCACGCAGATAGTGTTCTCACCGGAATTTGAACCGTGGATCCCCAGTGCTGCCAGGGTGAAGTGCTAACCACTAAGGGGTTTATTTACTAAAGGCAAGCGGATTTTTTACTTAGGAAGGACATTTTCCCTAGGCTTGGAGAATGAGGGGAAGCTGTGCAACAATGCAGAAAGGCAACTCGGGGATAGGGAAAGAGTGTCATCACCTCATATGAGAAGTGCCTGGACAAGGACCGTCATGACAGGCTTACCAGGAATGTGATTGGAAATTCTTTACAAAGTGAATTTTTACCACCTTTACTAAGCTAAGGGAAAATACCTGTGCAAAGTGAAAATTCACATTGGAAAGTGAACATGCTCTTGTTCTTTAGTTAACCAACCCCAAAGTCTCCACTAGAAGTGCATTTGACAATGTGACAGTGCAGAAGGGCAGCTCAGAGACAGGGTAAGAGTGTTGTCACCCCATAACATGAAGTCTCTGGACAAGGACCGTCATGAAAGGCTTACAAGGAATAATTTAATTTAATTAACAGGGTTTTTTTTAAATATATGTTTTGAAATTAATGAACACATTTAAGATTATATGAGATTTTAGTGATTGGGTTTTTAAAAAAATGCTTTCAGCATGCTTTCTGTGCACTGATAAATAATGTATGTTATTTTCTAATTTTAGATTTACACACTCCCGGCAATCATAAGCAAAAAAGAAGAAAGTAAGTATGATTGAGATGGGTGATGAATGAATTGATTTTACTGTGTTTATTGCTTTTTCTCCTACAAACTGATACGGAATATACAGGTGAAACTCGAATAATTAGAATATCGTGCAAAGTTCATTTATTTCACTAATGCAACTTAAAAGGTGAAACTAATATAGGAGATAGACTCATTACATGCAAAGCAAGATAATTCAAGCCGTGATTTGTCATTATTGTGATGATTATGGCTTACAGCGCATGAAAGCCCCAAGAACCCCAAATCCACAACCTCAAAAAAGTAGATTATTACATGCAATCAATAAAACAAGGATTGTACATAGAACAATATCGGACCTCTGAAAAGTACAAGCATGCATATGTACTCAGTACTTGGTTTGGGCCCCTTTTGCAGCACTTACTGCAATTACTTTTGCACGATATTCTAATTATTCGAGTTCCACCTGTAGAAGTGTTGTATCGCTCCGCCCTCTAGTGGATTCTCCATAGAACTACATGAAAACTACAAATGATGTGCTGAAACCAGAAGCTTAGCTAGAAAGCTCAGCTTGGACAGTCAGAGTTGTGCTGGGCAGTATTAGAGTTCCTCCTTAATGTAAACCGATGTGCAGAAATACTTAAAACTACACAGAGCAACCTATTAAAATGTAAATTCACCTAATGATGAGTATGCTTTGCAGCATCACAGCACCAATTTAGGGAACTCTCCTTACTCTGATCATCAACGCAGACCACATGTTAGCTATGTGAGTTCTTCATTTATTCCTTTCGAAGTCCCAAACATCTAAAGTGAACCTGTGCTCTGTTTCTGATTTTTAGAAGGAAATGTCCTTCCTAAAGTCGGACACTGCGAGATGCCTCATTTTACTTGTATTAGCCAGAGAAACCTAGTCTCTGCCCCTCTCTGATTTATTTTCACTGGGGGTCTCACTTTCCATGATTTCATGGCTAAGCCCTGCCAACTGAGATTGCCCCAGTGGCCTGAAAATGCACTCCTATTTGGCAATTAAGTGACAGATGGCAAGTCTTAACTGAGAAATCAGGGTAGGTCAGGATTCATTAACTTAAAGAAAAAAAACTTACCCTTGCAATGGCGCTACCCTGACACTGCAAGGATTCAGCGCTGGTATTGCCTACGGTACTCAAATAAAGCAGATTTACTTATTAGATCCCTATGCCTGCCAGCTCCCTTCCTGCTGCTAGACCAGTGTTTCTCAACTTTTTTTCAGTCACAATACCCTAGCAAAGTATGCAAAATCTCAAGACACCCCAGTCTAAAATGTAGGAAACATAAATGGTAAAATGTAAAAAAGGAAGTGTGGCCCCTCCAAAATCTATGCCAGACCCTTATCCGAGAGAGGCGACAACCTTAAAGGAGAACTATGAGGTGAGTGAAAATCACTCATCCTCATAGTTAGAGCTGACGTGTGACAATGAAACTGTCACATGTCGGCTCAATAGATTGGGAAGTAAGCGAACACATAACGTAGCTCGCTCACTTCTCGATCATCTCCCCGCAGAGAGCCGTGACTGTCAGTCACGGCTCCCTGCAGGGATCCTCCCCCCCCCCCTCCCTCCCCGCTCTGGTCCTCCAGCGCTGACTGGAGGAACGGATGAGGGAGGGGGCGGGTACAGCTGGCTCTGCCTCTAGATAGACATGGCCCGCTGTAATTCACGCAGCTGGGTGGATCTTGACAGTAATGTCGGGATCCATCTCGGATGCGGTGGTCTCAATATACTGCGAGCTGTAACTAACTATATTCTGAGCTTTGGGTCACGGGTGGACGCTAGTATATGTCCTCCCGTGACTCTTAAGAGAACTATGAGGAAAAACACTTACCCCATAGTTCACTTTTTTTAACTATTAACAAACATGTATCTTGTTTGTGTATCACTCGGCTGTAGATCCCCAAATCATCTCTGAATTGGTGGTGACACTGTCCTTCCTTCTGGAGGGTGGCTACATTTGTTCCCCATGTTCCCTATGTGTGTTGTAAAGTAGTCACCGCTCCAAGCTCACTCCTGTGATGGACTACAATCTCATGTTTAGTTTACTAATTTGTATCATGTTTGTAGTCCATCTCGGGAGCGAGCTTGGAGTGACTACTTTACAACACGCACAGGGACCATGGGAAACAAAAGTAGCCCCCCTCCAGAAGGAAGGACAATGTCAGCATGAATTCAGAGATGATTTGAGGATCTACAGCCGAGTGATACACAAATAAGACACATTTTTGTTAATAGTTGAGATACTTGAAGGCATTTTTAAGATTTAACTCCTGAGTTTAGTGTCACTTTATGAGGTAAGCCACAGTATACTAGAGAGAGAAAATAAGTAATCACATGGTTTTCAGGTTATGGAGTGCTTCTGTAAAGGTAGTTTCTGGTAGTTTATTACTTAAATCTAAGAGTAAATTGCAGTGTATTAATATTGCACTTATAACTGGAAGTTTACTGAAAGGTGATGTTATGGTATCCCTTCCTTTTCACTGCAGTGTTCTTGAATGAAGCTGGCTTCAATTTTGTGAAGAAATGTATCCATTCTGTGGAGACACGAGGTGAGTGTGTTCAATATGGGACTTATTTTGCATTATTACATAATAGAATAAGGTGCATTTTCACCTTCAGACTGCTGTGTGTGGGTTTAATGGAGCTTTTAAACCAGACCATCTAAGAAACAAATAACTGTTGTATTAGCAACAGCAGTAAGACCTTGTATACTTCACATTGTTTAAACTTGTTTTGTAAATGTTATTCAGAAGAGCATTGTGACATTGTTTAAACCTCATTTTGTAATGCTATACAGAAGGACATGGTGTTCTGCAGACGATTGCTAAGCATTTCAATAGTTTCAAGTCGTTTCCTGGAATCCCTTAGAACACCCCATAACTTCAGTCTGGGAGTGCTGAATACGGAACTTAGCAGGAGTGTTGGATTTCACTCTAACAAACTTTTAATAGGCAATTAGGAAGAAGGGCTTCAATATTTTCCCATTTTTGGGAATTGCGCTCATGGAACCGAGAAGGATCATAAAAAGTTGAAATGGAACAACTTGACATTGGATGTTTCACAAGATGTGTGCTCTAACATTACATCATCAACTACAGAGCCTGGAAAGAAGATATATTTAAATATGTCTTAGTCGAGTTATTCAGACATTTTTATTTAAGTGTTCATGGTTCAATACTACAACATGAATTGCAAACTGGCCTATGCTATTTTAAATGCACCACAGGTATCTGAATTAGTTCCTGCAGCACAGGTCTATTCCAATTTAACATGCAACTCATTTCCTAACAGTTCCAGCAACTCATCTCCTAGCTCTACTCTAGCCACTCATCCCCCATCTCTGCTCCAGCAACTCATCTCCTAGCTCTACTCTAGCCACTCATCCCCCATCTCTGCTCCAGCAACTCATCTCCTAGCTCTGCTCCAGTAACTCATCTGCTAGCTCTGCTCCAGCAAATCATCCCCTAGCTCTGCTCCAGCAACTCATCTCCTAGCTCTGCTCCAGTAACTCATCTGTTAGCTCTGCTCCAGCAACTCATCTCTTAGCTCTGCTCCAGCATCTCATCTCCTAGCTCTGCTCCAGCAAATCATCTCCTAGCTCTGCTCCAGCAACTCATCTCTTAGCTCTACTCTAGCAAATCATCTCCTAGCTCTGCTCCAGCAACTCATCTCATAGTTCTGCTCCAGCAAATCATCCCCTAGCTCTTCTCCAGCAAATCATCCCCTAGCTCTGCTCCAGCAACTCATCTCTTAGCTCTACTCTAGCCACTCATCCCCCATCTCTGCTCCAGCAACTCATCTCTTAGCTTTACTCTAGCAACTCATCTCCTAACTGTTCCAGCAACTCATCTGCTAACTGCTCCAGCAACTCCTCTCCTAGCTCTGCTCCAGCAACTCGTCTCTTAGCTCTACTCTAGCAACTCATCTCTTAGCTCTACTGTAGCAAATCATCTCCTAGCTCTGCTCCAGGAACTCAGCTCTTAGCTCTAGTCTAGCAATTCATCTTCTAGCTCTGCTCCAGCAACTCAACTCTAAGCTCTACTCTAGCAACTCATCTCCTAGCTCTGCTCCAGCAAATCATCTCCTAGCTCTTTCTTCAGCAACTCATCTCTTAGCTCTGTTCTATTGAGTCATCTCTTAATTCTGGTATCTACTATTCTCCTAGCTCTGCTGTGGCAACTCGTGTACTACCACCAACTTATTTCCTAGTTCTGCTTTAGCAATTCATCTTCTAGCTCTGCTCCAGCAACTTATCTCCTAGATCTTCTCTGAGTCATCATTTAGCTTTGCTTCAGTAACTCATCTCCTAGCTCTGTTCCAGCCACTCATCTCCTAGCTTTGCTCCAGGAACCCCTCTCCTAGTTCTGATCCAGCAAAACCTCCCTTAGATCTGCTCCGGCCGTTCCTCTCCTAGCTTTGCTCTAGTGACTCATCGTCTAGCTTTCATCCAACAACTTATCTCCTAGCACTGCTTTAGAGACTCATCTGCTTCTAATGCAGGCTATGGCGTTATTGCCTAAATCCAGAGTTTTACCAATCTTACTGTGAGAGCTCTGTATACAAAACAAACAAAAAACTCCTGCAAACAATGCTTCCTGTTTTTCGCTCTTAATATTACAATCACATAAGAATGCCGGTGATAAAAAAAAAGGATTGAGTCTTTATTCAAAGGAAATTCATTTATGTGTACCGAGGGAAGCACAAATGTTTTATTAAGTCCTGGTAGTAGCATGCAATATTGGCTTTGAATATGCAGAACTCCTTTTGCTTTTTAGCACTTTCATGACGGTCACTTATTTTATGTCTTCCTTTGTAGGTATCACTATTTTGGGACTCTACAGAATTGGAGGTGTGAACTCGAAAGTTCAGAAGCTGATGAACACAGTTTTTTGTAAGTATATTTTACTATCTGTATCAGGTGATGTGGGGATGATTCTGGCACACATAACAAAATAATAGCAATCATATGGATAAAATTTTCTTTATTTTTGTAAATAAAGCAAACCTACGTAAATTTAACCATCAAAGGACATAGTCACAGTTGCCCAATTACGTTTTTGTCTCAGCAGAAAGACAGATACTAGTTTTCTGCTTCTTAACACCAAAGAAATATAAGATATGCCTGTATGCATTGTCTTTTTATATGCTTCCAGTACACAGAACAACGGTTTAAATGCAGAAACAAAGCCCAATAGGCAGAAATAGCCTTGGGATATTTGTTCCCTGGGCACAGATCTTGCAATGGGCTTCTGGCACAAGGGAGAAAAAAAAATCAATACCTTTTCCTATTGCTAATGTTGTATACATTTTTCTTATTCCTAGCCACATGTGGATGTTATATCTGTCAGCATCTGTTGCCCTTTCCTAGCTTTACCCCTGCTATTATGTGTGGAGAGATTGCATCTTTCTTGTCTGACCCTTATACTCTGCCACACTTCATGTCTCTGTACATTGGGAGCTGCACACAAAAGACAATATAATCTTCCTTAAAAGGGAATCATATTCTGAAGCTGGGTACACATGGATAGATTACTTTTGTTTAGCCTGTGATGCTGAATGAAAAAATTCTTCATGCTAAGAATGTGGATGGATCAATCTCCCAATGTGTCCTTTGTATTCTGGCAACAGTGCCCACCACTAACGGAATATCCCAATAGTGCTTGCAGCTCATTGGCGGCATGCAGTGCTTACCCAACAATTTTGCAATATGTCCGTTCGATAAAAGTAAATCTAGAAATCAACGTTTGTTGAGGAAATAGAGTTACCCAAGGATAAAAATTAAATCTGTATGTACCCAGCTTAAGGTGCTCTGGATGCTATCTGCCAGGTCACAACCCAATCATAGATTTACATTAATAGACTTAAATGTAGATCAGAACTAGACTTAAAAAAATGAATTCATCCAAAACCTGTAACATGTTATGAATGCAGCTGTACTGAATCACCCACTTGATCAGCCATTGAGATATCTCCACTGGAATTCCCAAGAAATATAAGAAATATTAATTTTTACATGGTTTGACCCTTTAAGATGCACTCCTGGTGGTTTGTAGTTCTAATGCTTTTCATCAGCAGTAAAATATATATTTTTTATTCTTCTGTGTCAATGCATTTGTTTCCATGGAACAACAACTAGAAAAAAGTAAATTTTTCCTGAAGGAAATGAAAGAAAATCTCACCGGTGACTTTACTGTGAAAGAAAGTCTTCTATGAGTGCATGTATGAATCTGTGTTTCAATACGGCCATTTGGAAAGAGATAGGGGTGCATAGCTGACCTTGTTACTCTTGAATAGTAAAAGTGGAGCCGGGCTACTATACACGTCTCATTAGATAAAAATCTGAGTGCGCTGTAAAAGCATGAAATAATATTCAGGGCAAGCTGACATTGTCAGATCTCAATACAAGGCTCTTCTTGCAGGATATAGATTTTGAAAATGTGGCTTTTATGAATATACTATTCAAAAACATCTTCAAAACTGAAGATGCAGAGCTCTATTCCCTGAATTTTAAGTCTGATATTTAAAGTACACCTGTTCCCTTACTGAAGCCTCTCTGTTGAACACTCTCATGCATAGGTGCCGTATAGTAACAAACAATACCCTGTTATCTCTCAGACATTCTTTTGTTAGCCCAGCAGGAGCCCACAGAGCCTCCTGTATACATACTGACTATCTTATAGTCAATATTGACATAGACCTTGCAACGTCCCATGTAGTAGTGCTCCGATCTGGTAATAGGCTGCTCAGGTACCATTGCCGTCAGAAGGGTCCAGCAGCACTGACAAGAGGATGCCGGAGAAGTTGCCTTATTTTGAGGTTTAAGTGAAAGCATTGGTATACTTTATAAGATATCTGAACATTCTGTTACCATAATGGTAAATTGTCAGTATAGGCAGTCTCCGAGTTACGAACATCTGAGTTACGTACGACTCGTACTTACAAACGGAGGCCCCAGGCTGTTCCACTAGTTGTAATGCTACCGTGCTCATGCCGACGTTCGTAGTACTGTACCTAGCAAAACGGGCAGCTAAAATAGAGTTCGAAAAGCATATTGCCACATATTGTAAAAAAAAAATTAAAAAAAATGTACAAAACCCCCAAAAATTTACAAAACAGTAAAAAGTAAACAGTAAAAAGGGGAGAAAGGAGCAGATAGGCCCAATAAAGGACAAAAATGGGAAGTTGGTCACAAACGACAAGGAGAGGGCCGAAGTGCTGAACACTTTTTTCTCCTCAGTATACACTCAGGAGGGAAACGGGTTTGACACCGATAATAAAACACATAGTTCATCACAAAATATAGCCAAGTGGTTGACGGAACCCGGGATACAACAAAGACTTAGTCTACTTAATGCAAATAAAGCGTTGGGACCGGACAATCTACACCCCAAGATACTTAAGGAACTAAGCGAGGTTATAACTAGACCATTATTCCTCATTTTTAAGGACTCTCTAATGACTGGTAGAGTTCCGAGTGACTGGCGGAGGGCTACGGTAGTTCCAATATTTTAACCCTTCCCTATGCTATCCAAAACTAAAAAAGTAATTTTGGGCTGGAGTTGCACTTAAAATTTTTTTTACTTGTTCCAACTTACATACAAATTCAACTTAAGAACACATCTACAGACCCTACCTTGTTCGTAACCTGGTGACTGCCTGTATACAGGATAAGTATGACAGCATTTTAGACCATTTTGGACCTGATAATGATCTGTGTAGGGGAAAGACTGCACTTGTGTACTTTCCAACTGATTTAGTGTATTTTTTAATTTAAATGTTTATTTAAAATGTAATTAATTTCTAACAGCAGCTTAATTTTAGTAAAAGCTCAGATTTTTGTGTAATAACATTATGTTACCAGGCAAACTAAATGTAGCTATTCATAGCAGCAGTAGCAATAACAGAATAACATAAAATATACCTGTGCTATGTAATATATATACTGTATATATGTAAATATTTTATATCTATTTATTTTTGTACTTGTATGGTTGTGCTAAACATCATCTACTTTTTCAATGCCACCCTCCAGAAGGTGACAGGTCAGACTTGGCCAGACCCACAAAGCTCTATAGAGGTTGTGTGCAGCGTAGGGCCATGTTTGTGGAATATACAGGTTTACATTTTATAGTAAATTTCCACTTTTGCAGCCAAATTGGGATAACAACGATTTTATACATACTATATGTTCTCATTCACATAGTAAAACTCAAAATAAAGTAAAAATTACACGTGTTGAAGACAGATTTATACCAATTATAAATATTAATGTGTTTTTTTTTAAGCTCCTAAAGCACCTCCTGATATGGATATTGATTTAGAGATGTGGGACAATAAAACAATAACCAGCGCTCTGAAAAACTACCTCAGGTGAGTACGTCCTTTGTAGCCTTTTTGCTGTATAGTTCAGTATGTATTGAGCCATAATAATACATCACACATTGTGCAGCCACACTTCACAGGCATTTACATTCCAGTTTATTGGTAACAGATCAGTGATTTGTTGGAATGAGCTCCTGTAGTTTGCTCCTTATCACACTGAATGCTCTGCAACATCACCTGCTCCTATAAAAGTGCTTCTTGGAGCCGAGAAATGGGCTCCAGGAATAGAAGAGAGCATTGGGCTGTAAAGGGTAATGCCAGTTCTGATAGGTTCCATTTAATCTGGTAGTCAATTAGAGTGGACACGTTGCAATTTTTTTCCAGTGTTATATGAAAGAAATCTTCCCCAGCATATGTTTATGCGTGACTGCTACTCTAGTTAGCCAAGTGAGAGCTCGCCTAAGGAGGATGAACATCTTCTTGGATCCCAGTGATGCATTATTTGATAAAACTATATTTGTAGAAATAGGTTTTAAAGCTGCTTTTACAAAAATATAAATGTGGACCAGTCCAATTGTGATATATTGAATTTAAAAGCTCTTCATGAAACTTATGTCTATGATGACATGTGCTTTTTGTGTTGACAGATGTCTAATTGAGCCTCTCATGACGTACAAATTACACAAGGATTTTATTCTTGCAGTCAGTAAGTACATTACCTTTTAGTAACAACAACAAATCCTAACCGCAGTTTAACTAGGGATGTATGACTTTCAGTAACACAGCAACCAATCGGATTTTGGGTTTTTACAGGCAGTTTAAGAGATGATTTATGATGGGTAGGTATGGGTGACTGCAATTTGTACATCCTCATAGCTCTTTGCATTGCCGTACCGATTAATTCACTATTTGTAGGTGAATTTATATTTATTGTATTTTTATGTAGACTGTATATTTACGAAATAGCCATGTTTCTTTTTTATTGAATGCCCAGATTTTTTATTTCTGTCTTTCTAGCATTCTGCTGGTTCCTTCTATGAGATTTTGTCCCTTTTTAGGGACAATGTCTACATTCCATTGCTGCAGTCATATGCTGACAACTCTGTTCCCCTTTGTTTAAAGAAAAGAGAATGACAGTGGATTTGTGGTTAATGTAATAAAGCAGGCAGACAAATGACCCTGTCGTTTAGACAATAAAATATAGAAGAGGGGTATAGTTGAGTGTAGCTTGAGAGTAGACAAATCCTCAAAAGATCAGCCGCACAAAACCAGAATGGGTACAATCCAAAAGTTTATTGAAATGATCAAAAAAAAATTCTAGTTGATGGGATAACAGAGTAATACTAACCTTAACCAACTGCTGGCCCACTGCCGTAGATTGCAGTTTTAGAATTTGGGTGGGCAATCAGCAAGAAGAGCTACTTTGGGGGACCGGCCATCTCCAGTGGAAACCCACAAGGAGGGAGATTGCATGACAAAGGAGTTAAGGTAACCATTGTTGTCTCATTCCCTAGACAAAGTAATCACTGGATCCTTTACCTGCCCATATTTAAGCTTTATATTTTTTGTGTCTGTTAGGAGGAAAGTATTAAAGAATAGAGGCCTCTCCACCATTGATGGCTAAAAAAGCTGAAGAGGGGGAGTGGAGGCTAACAGCTCCTAGTGTTTTGAAATCTTCCAAACTCTAGAAAGTGTTGTTCCCTATAATTAAATTGGAGTTATGTTACCAGCCTAGTTGTATAAATTGCTTAGGGGAGTTCTTCTTTTTTCACAGAATCCGATGACCAGAACTACAGAGTTCAAGCAGTTCACGCCTTGGTTCATAAACTGCCTGAGAAAAACCGAGAGATGTTGGACATCTTAATCAAGCACCTTGTCAAGTACTGTGACACTTACATATGTGTTGTTTGTCTAGACTTAGATTACAGGGAATGTTTTTTTTTCTAGTGCACTAAGCAATTCTCTTTGAACTTGCTTATCATTTTTGTTTTTGAATTCTATATGTGCATTAAATGTTACGTCCTCCTAGAACTGGATTTTTTAGTCGGTATCTATATTTAGTAGGTTGGTAAGTTGACTGTGGCAGGGTATGTAGGGTAATAGGCACACCTGCTCCATGCTGGATTCCCTAAAGAATATATGTAGATCTAGGCTCACTCCCAACCCCAGCAACATCCGAATGAAGAAAAAGGAAAGATCCCACGCTATATCCACTAAAAACTGTATTTCCTTTATTCCAGATTAGCATAGGATACAACATAAAGCTCTGACGCTTTTGCCACTGTACTCCGCATTTTGTTATGCAGTGCTCAGTATAAAGCCTAGTAAACCTTTCACATTCGGGAAAGGACAAAGAAGTTTAGTTCTTGGCCAAAATCAATCAAAAATATTGTTTGACTTTTCCATAAAATGATAGGTAGAGCCTGATTGGTTGTTGTTGTCAACACCTGCCCCTTTTTTGGCGGACTTTTTTTTGTTTTATGCATTAGTTTAATAATTATTTGTACCTGCAACATGTTTGCCCCTTTTCTATTAGTACGTCACTTGTAGACTTCCCTCTATGTCTTCTGCCTGTAGAAATCCTTATCTTCAATAATGAATCTGGGTTCTGTATTTTTTTCTCATAAACTGCTGGCAGACCAAGCCTCTGGGAAGTGGAAAGGAGTGGACAAGGTTCGACCCTCCTAGAAAGTGTCTTGAGTTTTACCCGTCAGAACGGCCCAGGTGTAACTGCAGTTACTTGGAGGCTCATACGGTGCATGCACCTCCAGTTGGCTGCACTTAATACCTGACAGCAGTTTTATTTCCTGTGACAGGATGTCTTAAAGGGCTTTTAGAGCAGTGTTTTTCACCCTTTCTTTATTCATACCACCCTGTAAAAGTAAGCAAAATGTTAAGGCACCCCAGCCTAAAATGTAAAAATCATAAATGTAAAAGACAATATGTGGCCACTCCAAAATACATACTAGACCCTTTTTTTCTAGATAGGGGTTGAATATGGATTTTAAGGGAGGATCCCACGGAAAAAGACAAACAAATGGGGTTTCCCCTTCAAATCAGGAGCCTCCTTCAAATCAGAAGCCTCCTTCACATCAATGCCCCTCTTTACATTAGGAGCCTCCTCCCTTTACATCAGAGTCCCTCTTTACATTAGGAGCCCCCTCCCTTTACATCAGAGTCCCTCTTTACATTAGGAGCCCCCTCCCTTTACATCAGAGTCCCTCTTTACATTAGGAGCCCCCTCCCTTTACATCAGAGTCCCTCTTTACATTAGGAGCCCCCTCCGTTTACATCAGAGTCCCTCTTTACACTAAGAGCCCCCTTCCTTTTACATCAGAAACCGCCCCTTCACATCATAGGCCCCCTTTCATGTAGAGTTCCCTCTTCACATCAGATGCCTGCACCATTGGAAGGCATGACACAATGAGAAACTTTCGAGCCACCCCTGAGAAAGACAGAATGCACTCTGTTTGGGAGAGACTTTAGAGTATGCCATGCCATTTTCATCAAACCTGATTAAAAGTTAACAAAAAAAATTAAGTAAAAAAAACTCATAAAAAACACTTCTGTGCTTTTTCCCCATTCAGTCTTTGTTTCGCCAGTTTAATAACATGACTTTAAGAGCAATATATTATGTTGTGACAATTATATTTTCTCCCATAGGGTTTCACTGCATAGCCAACAGAATCTTATGACTTTTTCTAACCTGGGTGTGATCTTTGGGCCAACGCTGATGAGAGCACAGGAGGAAACTGTAGCAGCCATGATGAACATCAAGTTCCAGAATATTGTGGTGGAAATTTTAATAGAGCATTATGAAAAGGTATTGTCAGCACTGTGAACGATTTGTAGCTGTATGTGAGTTTTATTATTATTATTACGTTTGTGTTGTGTAGAGCACCTTTAAAGCTGATCTCTGGACACTTGAAAGAAGCTACTGTTGCCCTTACTGCAAGAATAAATAGGGTTTTCCAAGGTGTATATAAGTAAATATGTCCTTACACACCTAAACACTACTGTAAAAGCATAGCCTATGTGAAGCCATACACACTTCAGACCAAGGGGGGTAGTTATGGGGTTCAACTCTAACTACACCAGAATCACTGATATGTGCATGATGCAGGTTCTGTTTAAAGTGTAAGTAAACCTTAATAATGGGTAATATATTAAAACATTAAAAACACTTTTCCTACCTGCTAGCTTTTGGGCTCCTAAATATACCTTTGTAAGCATTTTGTTATATCTGTTCGATAAGTGCAAAAAAAATCTGTCGATTTAGTCAGAAATTCAGAGCTGTCCTTTGTCCTGTGCACACGTCCTGTCTTATAGCAAGGAGTCTAATTAGCCCTTCCAATTCTTATTATGCACTACAGAATATTCAGTGTCTCTGTTGTGTCTAGAGATAGGAGAGTGGTTTAAGTAGTATAGAAAGAGACAAATGGGCAGGGCTGACACCACTGAATCCACCAAAATGTTGTGTGTTGTCAGCCCACAGCAGGACTTCAGAGCTGAGTGCATTTCTGACAGGTCGGCATTTATTTTCTGTACTTGCAACATAATAAAAACATAAGTAACATGCAACACATCCAAGACTAAAAGAACATTTGACTGGTGTTAGGCTCAGTCTTTCATATTTGATCCAGATCTGTGACTCGCTAGCAAAGGAAAAAGGAATTTCGCAGTAGCAACTCCCAAATGGGGCTTACGTCTGCAGAGGAACGTATAGTTGGAAACATGGGCTTGGTGACATGTTCTGACCAGCTCATCCCTTTTGGGCTTTTAATCTTGGTTAAAACCTTTGTTCACCCCTCTGATGACAGCATTACAGTGAAATGCGTCAGTCACGCATTGCTAGGTTCTTGGCACAGCTGATGTGTGAAGACAAACAGTTCATTTGCTATTTTGGATTGTTAGTTATTTTACTGACTGACTTGCACTTTATCCAAGAGGTACACTGGTACTGGTATTTGCATTGGATCCTCTCTGACGAAATACAACATGATGACTCTATGGAATTGGAGCTGTAGTTCCAGATCACATGGCAAGGCTATATCATTTGTCATATATTGAAATTATACATAACTTATTCCTTTATTTATACAATTGCCCTGTTGAAAATAGTACTTATGAGGACTTTTTCAATCACTTTGCTTCAATCATTCTGCAGCAGTATGGACACTTCCATATACTGTGAGAGACTTCAAAATAGGCGCTGATCAGAGACTCACAAGATGACAATTATTGCTTGGAAATATATCATCGTTGGGAGTATTCTATGTATATGATGTTTGGCACCAACAGTGCAACTCACATCTTTATACAAGCTATTATAACCTGTTGTGAGTAATCTTATAAGTCAGCAAGGGAGTATTTGTTCTATATACAGTCTCGGGAGTGAGAAGCTGTTTTGTTTGCAGTTGTTTAGCAGCCTTTTTGCTAATTGTTGGAGCTATTTAGTGTTTTAAACGTCCATCTCATCCAGAGTCTATATTATCCATGCTGGATAGATGTTTCCTATAAGCTACAATTCATGGGAACAGATATAATGATATGCGCTCAGCAGGTAAAGTGACGCCAAACTGCTTTGTTATGTATGAATAATAGAATAAACACAGATCCCTGTAATTTTGTGCTCAAATGTAAAAGAATAATTGATGCACCCAAATGGTGGTGACTATTTTTTGATTTTATAGCCAGGGCCCTGCATAAGATATGTTTTATACATACATGATAGTAACCCCTTGATGGTCCCTTAACCAAATTCTAGGGGCAGCAATTGAGTGCGCGCTAAAACAACACGACAACGTGTATGTGTGTATATATATATATATGCTAACTGGGCATTAGGGCCCATCCGCCACATATATGCATTACGCTGTGGTAGAGGAGTTAATATTGAATAACAAATACAAGGTTTATTTTAAACATTGATAAGTAATGGTGGTTGTGTAGGCCTTTTTGAGTTTATTCTGTTTCCAAACAATAAAAAGCTGTCAGGGATTTTAACCTTCCCTTATTCAACTTAAAAAAAAAGTGTTTTAAAGTGAATCTTTACCCTCTTTCACTACAAATCACATCATTATGCAGCTCTGCATGCCGATTTAAAATCATATTACATTTATTAGTTAAACAAACTTGTTTTTCTTTTACTTACAAAAAAGTTCATCTACTTCCTGGTCCATTTTGGCACAAATGATGTAATGTGCCTAAGTGTAATGTGCCTAAGTAAGTTGTATCCTGGGAAAGTTACATCAGCAGAGCATTGCTGGGAAATCTCATAAGTAATCTCAGGAGATCTCAGGGAAAGGCATTTTCCTCCCCTGAGAGGATGTGGATGGTCACTTGTCCTAGTCACATGTGCCAGAGTTCCAGGAAGTAAACTGAGATCTAGTAATCTGCTCTTAGTTTAAATGTCCACTGTCAGAAAACTGGGGAAGAAAAGATATGCAAAGCATACAAAGCCGGCAATTATCTAGATGTATGTGTTTGTAGATTGTCATTACTAAACTTTTCTAAAGGTGCGTTTGTTGTTATTTTAAAAATATGGGTAAAGTTGCTCTTTAACCTCTATCTGTGTTTCTGTTGAAGATGTACCCTCACTTCCTGCCCGGTCAAAGTCTCTCATTAGGACTGGAAGTGAGGGTACATCTTTGTAACAGGGTCCCAGAGAGAAATAGTTTCTGTTTATATTTGCCAGTGGACCATTCCCACGCATTTCTCTCGAATGATTATATCCATGAGTGGTATTTATTTTTTAGACTCTTAGTAGTGTGTATATTTGAACAATACTAATGACACCCAGTGGGGTGAGGGTATTTGGTAGGAGACACATTTGAGACCTCCTTGCTTATTTACATGTGAAGTCCCAGAGAGTAGGAAAACCTAACCCTTCCCCACTCTTTTTACAACTAAAGAAAGCAGAATCTGGCTGAATATACACAATGGGGACTCTCTATAAACAAATTCATAGACACATTGGCCCTGAAAATCTCTGTGAATGCTTCTTCTGTTCAAATAGATGCACAAAAGGAACGTTCTTGTTACATTTTCTTTATAAGTAAAATGGATTTTTTGAATGTTATCTTGTAATACCACATTATGTGAACCAGAGGAGTTATTTATTTCCTATGCTTCTAAGCTCCATCTAGTGGCCATGATGTGGTATTTCAAGGTGACATTCCAAAATATATTCAACTTATTAAAAAAAGTATATAACAACGTTCGTTTTGTACATCCATTTGCACAGTACGAACATTCACAGAGATTTGCAGGGCCATTGGCTCTTTAAATTGTATATAAATAGATTCCTTTAAGTTGTGGGAGGGGGGGCGGTTTAGTGTTCAGTGCAGCATGGGCCCATTCATACTACGTCCGCTAGGCTGCACTGCACTGGCAAGCTGAAATACATTGTTCTCAATATGCCCAGCTTACATTATTGGCGCTTTGTAACAATGGATCATTCTGTATTTTAAACGTAACACATAATTCATATTCACCTTCAGAGGAAAGAATAAAATAGAATTTCATTTTCCATTCCCTGCAATTTCTGCAAGAAAACTTGTAATTCGCACAATTTTCTCCTTTGTTTTCTGAATTGTAAACATTTTAGTGACAGCTCAATTTAACACTTGACGACTGAAGTCACTGAAGTCTTTTATAATGGTTCCAAATTTAAACAAATAATTTTTTTACCCATTTATTAAAAAAATAAAACAAGACATAGCCAGCCTCATTTCACAGCTGGAGTCCACTTTCTTCATGAAGGAATTTGTTTTGTGATGCCAATTTGTCATTTCTAAAGACAATGACAAACGCAAGACCGCATGCTGCTTCCATAACAGAAATAGAAAGCTTGTTACCAAAACTTCTGCCCTGAGCACAATTCTGTGCAGATTTTACAATATGTAAAACACATTTCAACACCGACTGTCACGGAGGGGAATTTGCATTTTAACCACTTCAGTGCCAGCATGTGACACCCCCCTACTTCCCAGGCCAGTTTTCAGTGCTGTGATAGTTTGACAATTACTCCATCATGCAACACTGTATATAAATGAATTTAGAAACAGTATTTTGAGACAGCTAAAGGTTTTTTTTGGTGGTTCTTATGAACGAAATTACTATATAAATGACCAAAAATTTTTAAAAAATTGTTATAAAACATCTAAAATAATATGCTAGGATAGTGCAAAAGTACAAAAAAAACACAAAATGACCTCCTTCTTTTTGGAAAGTAGACATCCCAAGGTGATCTAATTTTTTGGGAAATGAAAAGACATGCCGGTATTGAGGGGGTTAGATTGAAGTTGTCAAAATGAAAAAAGACAAATGTCATAACTTGATCATTAAAGGAAATCCATAGTTAGGAAGTATGGAGGCTGCCATTGCTGACCTGTACATCATGCTTTTTGAGAGGCTTCACTACCCTTAGATTGTAAGATGTCATGAGAAGGGCCCTTCTAATCCTCTGGTATGGTATTGTAATTGTACTGTCTGCCCTAATTTTGTAAAGCACTGTGCAAACTGTTGGCACTATATATAAATATAAAAATTATCATCTCAGTCACTGATCCAGGACACAATCCAGGACACAGTTTGGATGTGACTTCCACTCCACTTTTTTTGTTCTTCTAATTCCAATTGAAAAATAAAAGATATTTTGATGATTAGCTAAACTCACTAAAAATGGCTTTGGCTTAGAATTGTGACGTTTGTGTTATGTCCTAATAACAAATCTTACTTTGCACAGATCTTTCACACAGCTCCGGACCCCAATGTTCCCCTTCCCCAGGCACAGCCGCGATCAATCTCCAGGAGAACTAGAGCCATTTGTCTTTCCACTGGACCAAGAAAGCCTAAAGGACGATATACGCCGTGTCTGGCTGATCAAGAAAGTGAGTGTGACTAGAGTATTCTTAGATGGGGAATTCCAGTTTACAACCCCGCTGTCTGCTACTCTAACACTATGTCAGGCATCTGTTGTTTTTTCATTTTTTAAGCTTATATACTTTTAAACTGATATATCTGTTTTATTATTTATATATAATGTTTTTGTTTTACAAATAAACATTTAAAGGGTTCCATTCTGCTCGGTACCTTCGTGGTACCGAGCAGAATAGAAAATCAGTGAGAAGAGTTTAAAAAAAAAGGAAAAAAAATATTTTTAAATGTAAATAAATTGGAAAATTAAAAAAATAAATAAAGATATTTTAAAGAAAAAAACAAACAAAAAAACAATTCGGCGGAGCCAGCAGTGACAGGTAGCTCCGCCCCAACTTTTTCCTATTGGCCTGAACCTGCTAGAGTCTTCTAGCAGGTCCTGGCCAATTAATAACAACCGTGACGTCACGTCCGTCTCCACCCACTTGGTTTAACGACAGATCAGCGTCCCCAGGTCATTTGGGGATGCTGACCTGTCATTACAACTGGGCTAAGGCAGCCAGGAGATCATGGCTGGCGCCGCCCAGCTGTCATTTGCAAAGAATATGCCTTCGGCTCGGCTGAGCCACTTGGCCGCCTTCGGCTGCTGTACGGGCTATAGTGAATAGCCCGTACAGCAGCCCTTCAGTTCCACTGAACTGAAGGGCTCCGGGGGGCAAAGAGAGCCGAAGGATCAGCCGAAGCTATGACTGGATCCTTCGGCTCTTTCGTGAATAACCCTCTTAATGCAGGGTGAACTTATGACACAAGATTTACAGAATATTATGGGTTTTATAAAGAGTGAGCATAAATGAAGCTGTTTGCCTTCAGACTAACCCTCTCTAATCGAACAATCTTACAGATGTGAGAGGAGATGAGAAGGGTAGGAGTCACTGCTTTGACTCATTAATTTGTGTGTAAATTCCAGCTTGAGTTATTGAGTTCTATTTCAGGAAAGTAACTAAGTATAACTTGGAAAACATGCAAAAGGAGAATGGAGTGCTAGCTACTGGCTGAAAATACACTACAGTAGAGCAATATTAATTTGCAACATTTCATCTTTACCTGCCTAATTGAAAAAAAAAATATTAAAAGAAAAGATGTACATAACCACTATACATTGCCTTTAAGTAAATGAGTCTATTTGGAAGGCTTGTAAAATGCTAATACACAATGTTTAGAAAGCTAAATGTCATCCAGTTAGGGTTTATATCATCTTTAATGGGGTTTTTTTTTGTCTTCCCTGTAGGTGACTCTTATAGCAGCAGTCCAACTAGCACCCCTATGGGCAGTGTTGAATCACTATCTTCACATTCCTCAGAACAGAATGTAAATTCACGGTCAGCTTCATCGCCACAAAGAGACAAGAAAGGGGGCGGCATCCCATGGGTGACCTCCACGCCTTCCTCTAATGGCCAGAAGAGCTCTAGCCTTTGGACCACAAGCCCCGAGTCCAGCTCCAAAGAGGACGCCTCGAAAACTGACGTAGAGTCAGATTGCCATAGTGTATCTTCTGTGACCAGCCCTGGAAATGTTTCTCCGCCAATAGACCTCACCAAGAAAGGACTTTATGAGCTTTCTGGGCTCAAGCGCTCTACAGCCTCCTCTCTTCGCTCCTTAGCTTCCACAGAAGGTAGGTGGTTGGTTGACAATTTTTGGAGCTATTGGCCCAGGGTCAACAGTCACTAGGAAAGTTTGCTGTAATTTGGAAAAGACACTGAATGTAATACGAAAGATAATGACAGTATCTGATTAAATGATGCCAAAATACGTTGTCTTTATTACAAGCAAGGGGTTTGATGAAAATGATAATGAAGAGAAATATCTGAGTAAGTAAGCCTTCATTGTGATCGCTGGATGTTTAGAGTACAGACAAAATTCTTCCTTCCTTTTTTTGTTTTTTTGGAGAGTACAATAAGCTGCTTTGCGGGAAAACATTTGTGTTATTAACATAAGCATGTAGTATAGAGATTCCTGCCGAGTCAAATGCATATTTCCCCAAAAATAAGTCTGAATGTGTCAATCAATATCAGATGGAAGCATTAATCCTACAATAAGTGCTCAGTGAGGAAAGTACACATTCAGTTAAATGATAGCTGGAAATAAAGCTCTTTTAATATACCCAGGAATTCCAAGTAGTTTTGCAAATATGACCTCTGTCATAAATAGGATTTGCGTACTACACTGCACTCATGTAATCAGCAGAGATCACAAACTGCTAAGAGCAAGCAGCCCCTGCATATGTTAACTACACTGTAGTGTTCACACATCAACTTACCATTACTACAAAGAAAGCATCATGGATTCCTTTGGTTGTGCGCGCCACAGTTGTCTGTCTGGAATCACATGTAATAGAGAGATGGACACGTCTAAGGCCCCATTCAGACTGAGTTACAAGCTTTTTCAGTGCTGATTTGAGATGAGCGGCTTTGAGCTACAGTGCTCATTTTTGTCACACTACTTAGTGCTTCTTTTGGCAGTCTATCAAAGTCTACTGGGGCCAAATCGCTTAAAATATATCGAAAAATAGCTCATGCTTCAGCTACAAGCTACATGCGTCATTGAGCTGCAATATGTGAACATCCCCATTGAAATGCATTGGAAGAGCTACATTGAGCTTCATATTTGAGCGATTTCGGAAATCGCGCTACAAATCGCTCAGTGTGAATGGGGTCTTAGCTAAAGTAATCCCGGAGCTACATTATTCTAGCAGTTTGTGTTCTGCAATGTTTAAATTGCAACGCAGAACTCATTAATTATGCCTTCGGCAGTGAGGAAAGTGTATCAAACAGGTAATTAGAGCAGATGCCTTTCTTGTTGTTACTCCCAGTCTGCAGTAATAGTGCAGATGCTGACAAGGCTGTGTAAGCAAATAAGTGTTTACATTGGTCTCGGTCTATGATTACAGCTGTCTATCCACTGGATAGAAAGGGCAGATGAAGCAGATTACATTTCAAAGTTCCCTGGTGTCCTTTAATATATTAAAAGGGCAATTGTGTTTTATAAGTTCCCCTTACAGGGTTTCTGGGGGTTGGCTTTTGACAGAACACCTTTCTGTTTTTGTGATTGGTTGCCCCTATTGCTCTGTGGAAACAGTTAACAAGGGAAAACTTATTTCAGGAGACTTGAAGTTCTTAAAGAGATGATTTGGCTGAAAGCCAGGCAAACAAAGTGCTGGGAGATAAAGTATGTAGAATTCAAATGTGTTGGATCTGTTTACTCCACCTCATAGATATTTACTATTCTATTTTAATTTAGGTATTAAGAGCAGAAGCCCATCTACGCAGAGCCTAACATCTGTAGAGCTAAAAGACATCGGAAAGGGTTTTCCAGACTTACCGCCAAAGGTGATGAGACGGAGATTGGACACTGGCTCCAGTAATGGTTACCAAAGGCCAGGATCCGTGTAAGCACTCGTTTTCTGTTTGCTTGTTTGCTGTTTATCTTTGTATGCACAAGCTATGACAGCTATGAAATAGTGATCATATGTTGCTGAAGGTTTATTCTCAAAATAAGCCTTCAGCCTGCAAATAGAACTGCAGCTTGTCTATGGCAGTGTGGTTCTGTTTAATACTGTAATTGTCTGATACACAGACACAGTAGTAGTAACATAAATAATAACTTTTTTCATTTTTTAAGACATTTTATATATCTATATATATCTATAGATATATATCTATATATCT